TTACTATTTATGTTTTGGCCTTTAAAAAATATCCGGCCCATCCTTTGGATTTTTGTCAATATTGGATTTGGATTATTTTTTTTTTTTTTTATTCGTTTTGGTGGCTAATTTGTTTATACCTTGAACATGCTTTGTGACAAATTTTCAGGCTTTTCCTTCCCTTAAAAGCTTTTTATTTAAATAATCATCCCATTGTTATGATTTAAAATTTTTGGCGGCCATTTTTAGTGGTCATTTTAAATGGGCCATTTTTCAATGGTCAAGGTCAAGTTTTTCAATTTTGGTATCCACCTTTTCGGATTTTTAGGAATACTTAAATAGGTGAATACACCCAAGATACCCACTTCTAACCAAAAATGTCTAGATTCCCTTATAGGGAGGGACAAATTCTCAAAATCAGTCCTGTCTAATGGTCGTTTTTTAAAGAGGTGATTAGTCCTTTCTGTATCGGGCAAATCCGGTACGGATTCGATTTTGTACGTTTTTTTTTTTTTTTTGGGGGGGGGGGGGTATCTTTACAGAAGTATTAGGCTCAAAGCCCTAGCCCAAGTTAAAAGCACCCATGAGATCACCGCATGTCATGTCGTTTTTTTTAATGACAGGCTTTTGTTCTTACTATATTTAAATTTTATAAATTTTCGTGAAAAATACAATTTTCTTAAGCCAATTGTTTAAAAACCATTACTCTAATTTCGTTGCGGATATGATTTTATTAAAAAATTTGGAGAGTCTACTTTACAGAAATATTAGACTCAAAGACGAGGCTCAAGGAAAACATCCGTGACATCTCCGCGTTTCATGGTCTTCTTTTATGACCAGCGTTTGTTCTCTCTGTACAAAAAGTGTATTGATTTTCGTAAGATTCAGTATATTCTTAGGTCAAACATTATAACATCATTTGTCTGATTTCGATACGGATTCGACTTTGTACAAATTCGGAGGGTCTTCTTTATAGAAATGTTAGGCTAATAGCTCTAGCCCAAGTAACACATCTGTGAGAATTCCGCGTGGCATGGTCGTTTTTATTTGTTTGGGTCGTCAGACCAAACAAATAATGGTAGCGAAATTTCAGACCATGATGCTGTTAATTGCAAATGCCGAAAGTAGTCCGCTTTTTGATGTTGTTACTTCCCTTTATAAAATTATGTACACTCACGCCAAAAAAATCAGGGGAGATCACTGCGTAAAGATTGTCAAATGACAGGCGCATTAATTTTCAAGCAAAATAGTTCTCGAATGGTCGAAGATTTCTAATATTGTTTTATTCTTTATAGATATACATGCTTATAGTAAGCTCCATGATTATTTACACATGTGTTAAACAACAGGTTTAGCGTCGAAATAATAAGTGTTACAAACCCTAATTTAGAATGATATGGTTTTCTTCAGGCCGGTAACATATAACTTCACCGTGGCCGAGGGGTTTGCACGTTCGCTTAGGAATCGAGAGGTCTGTAGTTCAAATCCCAATTAAGGCAAGTCATTTTTAAAAAAAAAATGTTTTAAGTCAAACAAACATTGAATTGAATATCAGTGTTGCAATTAGTCTTATGGTTGAAACACCGGAAAGCATTCTGAGACCCAAACAAATTTAGCGCCTTCTGTGCTTTGATTTTTTACAGTTGTTAGTTTTTCTGCATATAAAGTATGTAAATTCACAAAACCCTACAGAAGCTGACATCTATCTGCTTTGAAAGATCATGAAGCAGTGGCAAATTTTGAAGCTTTCCGTAAGTGGTGCGTGACAAGAAGCCGCTTATAAGAAAGTTTCCGTTTACTATAATTTGGGAAAAAGTCCAGTTTTCCCTTTTGTAAAGAATGCTTTTGTACTTTTTAAAAAGCAATAATGTCCCCTAATTTCAAAGCAATTAATTTATGATTTTGTTTTAAAAAGCAATATAAGGGGAGCCTACCTAAGAGATTTTTGAGTAGTAAGAAACGTATTTTCCCTCCCCACGTTTAGACTTTTTGTGTATGAAATGTGTTTTTGGGGAAAAAAACTAAAACACACAATTCTTTGGCCCAAATGTTTTTAAAAACCCAAATTTCCTTATATTCTGCGTTTTTATTTTTTTAAAAAGTTTTGGGGGGTCTAAATTTCAGGGAAAAATAAAACTCAAAGGCCCCAGCTTAAGTTTTATATCTGTGAAAATGTTCGGCCCTTTGCCCCTGGTCGTTTTTTGTTGATTTTTATATTTTTTTTTTTTTATTTTTTTTCTGTTTTTTTGTTGTTGTTTTCTTTTCTTTCTTTTCTTTTTGACTAGCGGTTGGTTCTCTCTGTATATAAAGTGTGTTAATTCAAAAAATCCTACTGAAACTGAGATCTATATGATTTGAATGACCATGAAGCTGTGGTCTTGCAACTTTTGAAAATGTCCATAAGTGATGTATGACAATAAGCCACTTAAGAGCACGTTCATACATTAACTGACATAATGCGCAGTTAACCTGGGTATAATGAACGCTATATACTTGAAGTAATGTCGTAATGTACATGCAATTAATTCTGAGTCTCCATTAACAGCAATATAAGGTAAAAAAGCCTTACTCTAGAGATTTCTGCCTAGCATGCTCGTATTTTGGTACATCGTTTAGGCTTTTCTATGTATAAAGTATATACATGTACATTTTCGTGAAAAAAATCACAAAATTCTTAGGTCAACTGTTTAAACAGCCTTTATCTAATAACGTTGCAAATTCAAATTTGTATTAATTTTGTGGGTCTATTTTACAGAAATATAAAGGTCAAAGCCGTAGCTAAGGTATAAATTCGTCAGATCTCCGCGTGGCATGATCCTTCGTTTCGACCGATAACATGTTCTTTCTATATATAATATGTATTAATTTTCGTTAAAATTACAATATTTAAGGTCAACTGTTTAACCATCATTTGTCTGTTTTCGTAGCGGATTCGATTTTGTACAAATTTGGAGGGTCTACTTTACAGAAATATTAGACTAATAGCCCTAGCTCAAGAAAGACATCCCTGAGATCTCCGCGTGCCATGGTCATTTTATGACCGTCGATTTGTTCTTTCTGTATATAAAGTATGCAAATTTTCGTACAATACACATCATTCTTAGGCCAACTGCTTGAACACCATTTGTCTTATTTTGAAGCGGATTCTATTCTGTACATATTTGGTGAGTCTATTTTATAGAATTTTAGGCTCATAGCTCTAGCCCAAGTAAAACATTTTTGAGAATTCCGCTTGGCATGATCGATTTTTTTAACGTTTGTCAGTTCTTTCTGTATATAAAGTGTGTACATTTGCAAAAAAAACACCATTTTCTCGATTCACCTGTTAAAACACAATTTGTGCGATCCCGTTGGAGATTCTGTTTGAAAAAGTTTTGATAATTTTATGTGGGTTATACTAGCCCCTTTACCCTAACCCAAGGAAAATGTTCGGGAAACGTCTGTGTCTTCATTCGGAAATCAATTTTATTGAGTTATTTATTAAGTTCTTAGACTAACTGACAAAAAGTGCAGTTAGCCTGGGTTAAATAAACGCTACGTACTTAAAATAAAAAAATGCAGTAATGTCATAATGTCTAAGCAAATAATTCTGAGTCTCTTTTAAACAGCAAAAGAAGGTATAAACGCCTACCCCAAACAAACTGTTCAAGAGAATTGTCTAGTTTAATATTGGAAATGTTGATGCCTAGCTCAGTATTTAATATGAAAAAAGTAATACATTCTTACCGAGATAGAAAATTGAGTAGAATATTAAAACATTTACATGTCTGGCTGATTGTTGATTGTCTACCGTACTAATTTATATATCGAATGTTTAGCTAATGTCTCTCTCGACATTGGCATTATTGAATATCTTGCTGATTATTGAATTTCTAGCTCAACATTTGTTTAGAATGTATATTGAAACTGTTATAAGAAAAATCAAATGCTGAACTTGGATGTTGATTGCCTAGAGCTTGGATAGTTGACATGTAGCATTGCTTAGTAGACCTTTACGAAAGGTATATAAATTTGACCGTTGAGATAAAACAAACGCCTTAACCCTGTGGTCACCTTTATTGCTTGGCATTGTATAGGAACCATGCTTTAAAAAATCCTCTCTTCCCTCTCTTCAGAAATTGCAATGACTACACCTTGGGTATTTGACACACTAAGCTATGTCTAACAGACATCGACAGATATCAACAGTTACATATATCAAGCCCTTTGAATAAAAAATTGGCAAACCCAGGGTCACTTATGCGACATTGGTTCCAGTATGAGATAAACTTTAGAAATACTCGTGCAAGAGAATTCAATACTTAGTACTATATTTTCATAATATCATCACCTTATTGCCCTCTACAAAGTTAAGTCTGTAGTAACATCCCTGCATATTTTGGCATGTAACTTTGCTTTGGTGACTTGTACAAAAGTAGTATAAATCATGTCTCCAGGGTCGAAAAGTAGTCTAGCCCCATAGTTAAATGTTACGACATAGGTGAGCGATATACGGCGATTGTTGGTCTCTTGTTCGTTTTACAAACAATCAATATTGATACATTATCTTTAGTAAAGGACACTACACACCATGGATCAAATATTAAAGAATAACTGGACACGATTCGGAAGTTGCGGAATTCTTTAAAGTGGTTTGATCCTATCATGCGATGCCCTCTTAATGAAATATGAAAACTATGTCCAATTATTATTAGCGAAATGAAAACTGTCCGAAGCGATGAGAGGAAAGAATACGTTAAAATATATGGGAAGGTTTTCTTTACTGCACCTATCATTAAACAAATTGTCCTCACCCTGAATTCTCCGGTCTATTAACATGGTTAAGTTATCTACATAAATGTAATATACACTTAAGTTAAAATTTAAAAAAATCAATTTGTGATTGATTGTTTATTTATCTATATCTCCTCTTACTCATATCTTATGAGATTTAATATGGATTGTATTAAAATGTTTTTTTGGAAATAAATTACATAGAATCCATGGAAAACCATGATAAAATGTGTACATCCGTTATCATGTACCTAATCATACAGTTTACTTAAATCTGATCGTAACCGCACACTCTTTTTGTAATGTTTAATATCTAAAGATATATCAAACCTTTTTTTCATGTCACCACGCATTTTTCTTGATAAAGGAAGTGACATTTTTTGTCCGGGTGGGACATTTTTATTCCATGGTTCATTAACAGCGATGTAAACAGTTGTGTGAAAATTATTGCGCGGTAGTGGCAGGGGATCTTTCAGTTGCCTTTTATAGCTTGTGATTCACTGTTTGTTCATATCAATTGAAAACTTGATTTATAAAATAGAACATTTTGGGAATAAATACAAAAGAAAATGTTTAAGGACATAGTTAATTACGTTACTTTGATTTGGATATTAAGCGTGATACATTTATCAGGTAAGTTTAACTTTCGTAGCAAGTTAATGTGATTTTTTTTCTCTACATTTGTTTACTACAACGTGTATGTAAGACGTTAACTTCATTTATTATTCATTATGTAAATATTATTTTAAACGTTGTGATCATGGAGTGCAAAACTATACAAAATGATAAATTGATCAGTGATCTGTGATATTCGATGTAACAGATCTATCTATCTCTTGACAAAATATTTTCACAAATATACAGGAAATTTGTGACTCAATAAAGTAATGATGTATTTATAAACTTAAGAAACATGTATGTCTGGGTGTATATCGATAAAAAAGAACTTCATCTGAATGTGACTTTAACTATTGACTCCCCTGTGTCGGTCAATTTTCACCTAACGCGCTATTCTATCAAAGCCCCTTTTCTTATATCACGAGTACGAAACTATGGAAATTTGATAGTATTTTTCAAACTGTTTAACCTCGTTTTCACCTCTATGTAAACAAATTCAAATCAGCCACTATCTTAGAGGATGGTATTCTCAAGTTACGCCTACATTGTTCATTAAAATATCTCGCACGTAATTTATCCTAATTTGGTTATTTGTGCGACATATATACAGTTTTAATTTATTATCATCTAAAGGTAATCGTTGTTGGTCTAGCTCAATCATTGAAAGAAGCTTTGCGGTTTTACATGTACGTTAAAAAAACTACATTATTGATAAGGTTAAAAAGTACTTGTGAAGTTAAAAAAAACATATTTACATAGCTAAAAATAAATCTTTTGACTAATGCACAAGTTTTTTATGATATAAAAGAAATGGTTGCACTTATCTTGTTAATCTCGTTATTTTAGAGCAAAAAAATGAATTTCAGCAATACAAATATATTAAATAAGAAATCTAAATTCAAGCATAAATATATGATATATACAAACTAAACATAAATGACAGTAATCACAGGAATACTTCTATATGTAACAGGAAAAACTCCGTGTTTCAAGTGTTTATCTTAGTTTCTTTTGATAACATTTCGACACTTTTGAATAACTGATCAATATTACAGAAACTATACTTAACTGACGATACCGTTATATTGACTTACCTACTTTTCTAAACCATAATAACTAAAATGTCACAGATTTTAACACATATGAAACAATGAAATAAAAAATATAAAACGTTCAAAATTCTTTATAAAGAAACATATTTCTGAACCTGACAAATGTGAACAAAACGCTGAAAATGAAATCTCCTGCTTTATTAACAGTATATTATAAAATAAATAAGGGTTATTATAGGGGTATCTTTATTTTGGCACCTTATTTGACTTAAGTGTATGTAACTAGGCTTGGATATCACGAAGCACGGGTATGCCGAATGTGGGATATTCCGAATGTGGTCCGTTCAAGCAAAATCGACGAGTAAAAAGATCAGGTACAACTATACTAACCCTTTCATATATACGTTGCCGACTTTAAATTTAAAATTCAAGAAATCTACAGATGATAGCAGAACCATCTACACAAAATAAAGAATATGGTAGATGGTCCGATCCTATTCTAGGCGTCGTCTAGATAAATTAACTCAATCGAATGTCGTTATGTTTTCGTGCAGTACAAATGTGTTGCAGAACTATTTATTAACGAGTACGTTAACAAATTTGCCAGATTGTTCTAATAGATATTGAAGAAAAGTGTCATGGATAGCCTTAAAGTCGTTATAAGATCGTTAATCTTGACTTGAGACATTGAAATTAAAATGCTGATTACACATGTGAGCTGTGCACGACATAACATTTAGACTAAGTATCCAGCACAAAATTTATATTTTGCATACCATATATACTAATACTGTTACACTGGGGCTTTCCAAACCCTTTTGTACCTATGACGGGGTTTTAATAAATTTACAAATTAAAAAAAGTACCCAGAGGTTCAAAAGATACATAGAGGTGACAGATTTGCTTGTTCACACCTCATTCATTACATTAATTTTAAAGGCATTGCAGAGATTTCAGTTCAATAAGTAAATGTCTACAAGGAACCCCAGTTCAAAATTTCTAGATCCAAAAAGCTATAAGCAACTTAACTGATCGAAACATGTTTGGTATTACTCGTTAAAAACCAAATAACTGCGTATAAGACACTATTGTTATTTTTTTCATTTTGATTTAGATAAAATTATTTATAACAATAATTTTATCAAACGTCGAGCATGAGTACCTTACTTGCTGATGGCAACAACTTTTATCAACCTTCGCAAAGCCCATTAATGAAATAACATCAAACTTGAAACTTGTATTCATCGAATGTCACAGAGGTTTCGAATTTATTTTCTTGATAAGGATCTTCAAAAATGCGGTAAACACAGGATTTCACAGTTTAGTTTATCATTAAACGTGAGTAGGTTATTCTTAATAAAGATTGTCTGATGTCCTGACAACAACACATACGCAGAGATACTACTTAATAACGAAAAGATAAAATAAAATGTTATATATGTTTTATAACTATTGGCATACATCCAAATAATATAGATAGAAAAAACAGGAAGGCTAAAAATCTTATCTCATTCGATTGCCTGTGTTTGGAGTGTTTTATTCAATAATAATATATATTTATACAATCACATACTTATACTGAAATGAAAATATTATCATAACATATATATCTTTACCCTAAGTTAAAGAAGAAGCTTTATTATGCAATAAAACACGTATCCATGAGAAGTAAATTGTAACTTTTTTTTTCTTTTTTGACTACCTTTTCTTTAAAAACTTAAATGTCAACATAGATACAAAATTGATGGTCTATAACATTACCTGTTTTTTTGTGACATGACTCACTGTCATTGGTTATTGACGCATAGTTTAAATAGCTCTGTTAAAACTTTAAACTCATAAAATTCAATACAGTGTGTGAAAATTGAAACATAATACATGAACATATTTTATGCACATTAAAACCACATCATTAATGCATGGCGTAACCTGAAACATTCTTTCTTTATAGTTACTCGCTCCAAAAATGTACTGAAATTTAAAAACAAATTTAATTTTGAACTGATTTGTTAAGGAATTTAAATTATGAATTGAAAAATTCAATGATGTCGATATTCTCTCAAGCATGTAAAAACTTTTGTTTAAGGTTAAACGTCAGTCTGATTTAATCATATAATATATAATTCTCCACATGAAATGCCTCGTTCTCTATCTCTAACGTTCTATTATTGAAAAATACCTGACAAATGAGCTTCAGTTTGATAATAAATCATCTGTATTTTCTTAGGTAAAACATAGACAATATCATTTTGATCTGAACCCAAGGTGAAAGGCAGGTGCAAATGTCAATGTCACTTAAAATGGAACTGATGTACAGTCAACCTCTAGAGTAAAGTACAATACAATAAATACAATATAGTACAGTGTATTTGCTTTAAACATTATGTATACAACGTTTCTAGCATATAGACAGGTAAAATAGTTGATACATGTAGCAACATCATGCAAAAACAAAATGTAATCAATTTTGGGTTAGCGGAGGGATATCTTGGTGCTACACTTTTTCAGTCTCTGTTTGGTGATTCTTTATGGCATTTCTGTTGTTAAAAAGGTCAATGCAAGGTTCGATTAAAAAGGTCAATGCAAGGTTCGATTACGTTTATTAACTAAAACAATTTTGATCATGCCTCTTGCCCAATGTCAGTTTGATTATCCATGTCGTTTTTGGTTTCATGGCCTTACTAATTACTAGAAAGATAAACTCCAGGTCAGGCATAATGAACTAATTAGGTTCGTACTTAATCTTGGCTATAGTAATGAATACTTAAAGGTTTAAATTGCTTTTTGGTTGGTTCAGAAAAGACTTGACCAAATTACCCTATGATATGTCTAAATAAAGTAAAAAATACCACCTTGCCCTTGGATATCAGGATGAAAACTTTATTTCCTTATACTCTATCCATTTTATACTAGGTCAGGTGAAGCGGTATGCAAAATCATTTGCATATGATAAATGAAGCTATATTCTGTGGAACGATTCTCTTCTGTAAGAAACAGGGCTTGAAAATTTAAAATTGCCAATAAAGGTCATTTTCTTAATATGTAATTGTTTAGCAATTAATGATGCTTATCCTTTTATGTCAGACTGAAAAAAAAGTATGAAAATAAGTGTATCATAATGAATTTTATGCATACTAGTCTCCAAAACGGTACTCAATGGCTAATTATCGCATCCATATTTTGCTTCTTTCACTTTTTGCAACTAGTACAGTTATAGTTGATTTAGTATTTTTATTTTGTTTGGATATCAAAATAGTAATTTGTTTATATGTCGCTACTATTATGATTGATAATTTCATATTCTACACTACTTTCTACAGATGATAAGCATCGGAGATACTCTAAAAGAATTATTTATTATAAACGTTATAAAATTCATTAGTGCTCGCCAATTTTTTTAAGCCAATCACCGACGAGGATTTTTCAAATTTTTAGGTTTCAAATCTTAATAGAACATATTTTATATAAACTGGACGTTTTATATTATAAAACGCAAGTGGGCGGAGCTAAGTTTCGAAGAGCGCTAAAGTGAAATATACGCATGTGCAGAGATCTTGAGGTTTACTCCTACTAATCAATATTTATGCATCATGTTTTTTTCCGTACACGCACATGTATATCGTCACTACGGCATAGAATTAAAAAAAGAGGTTCATTGAAATGAAAACAGGCAAAATAACAGTAAAAATGTTTTATTACTTACGGAACCAGTATCATTTTATAATTTCCAAATAAAAAGTTCACTTATTCCAACAAAGTATGTATGTAATATTTCTTACTTTTTATGTAAATATTACAGCCCGTGCCGCTGCAAAACCGAAAGTAGGGTGTATTTATTAATTTTACAAAAATATGTCGAGGTGACAGGCGAGGCAAGACATGTCGACTTTTTGTAGCTCATTGTGAAGTTGCATTACATGAAAATCGGGCACATGACAAATCAGCACATAAATAAAACATTCTAGTGTTCCGTGGTATACATCTTTTCTACGTGTCATACCTCCTTTCCTTATTACAATGAATTTTTACTGCATTGTTATCCATCGCTGGTTTGTTTTTAGCAGAGAATGGCCTGTGTATGTTCAAAGAGGGTACCGTGCAAAGAGGGTACCGATATGGATATGCACCGTGATATTGTCTGATTTACCTAGACAGAATGCGGGAATAAGCTATGCAAAACACGTGACCCGAATATGTGTACCGCTACCTCTTCCAAATATGGTTATACACATTTAGGCTATCGTGTGACGTCACGCAGTGTGTTGGGCGAAAAAAAATGGGCGGAGCACTAAGCCGGTTAGAGTGCATATTGGATGTTCTTCGTAAATAAGAAAGCTACAGTCGCTTCGCAAGCTCCGCTCCTTTTTAGCTTTCTTATTTACGAAGAACACCAAATATGCACTCTAACCTATACTTTTTGGCCATAATGAAGAAGAAAAAAAGTAAAATGTTTCTGAGGCATAATGTGCCGTTAATTTATGACTTTGAAATTTCATTTTAAGCCTCTCTATGTCAGAACTGTCAGCGCCTAAGGACGTCAGTGGAAATAAGATTTTTTTCATTTTTTTCTTTCTTTGTATTGTCCTTGGTACGATGACATTGGAATGTTTTTCATTTCTCATGTTTATTGTTATATGTTCATGTATTAGGTATGTTTTATCATGTTATTGCATTATACTGAAATAAAAAAAATCTTTTTTCTTATAATATTCTCATATTTACTACTTATATTATAATTTGCCACTCACCTGATATGAATAAAAAGAGATAAAACTTGTCTCTTTTCTTCTTGAATGGGTTCTTCACTACTTAGTCACTAAAAATAACAACTGCATGGTTCGAAAATTGGTTCGATTAGACTAGAAATATAAACAGGGAATTAAAATACAAAATTTAGATATGTATGTACTTATATCTACATTTCACCACATGCAGTTAAACGCCAAAGAATAGCAACAAGAATCGTCATGTATTTGTTGTCCGTCATGGTGTCAGACTGCAAGTTTGGAGTTGAAACTGTCTCTTATTGTCAAGGAGTTCTTGTGATAACTGTTACTGACTCTTCATTATGTTTTATATAAATAATATTTTTATTAAAGATTCGTCTGATGATGACAGTGTTTGTGAGCCGCCCTGGGAGAGATTTCACCAATCATGCATTGTATTTATACAGGGGAAAGACACATGGCAAGTAGCTCGAAACATGTGTTTAAGTATAAATTCCGATCTTTTGAGCATAATAAACAAACAAGAAGATGTAAGTTCACTCTTTTCTATTATTATCTTTTATATCAATGCTTAGTTACACTAATTATCTTCATTTGTCTGAATTATGTTATTAATTTTGGTTTATTTTGACATTTTGTACAGAATAAAACATTTATTTATCATGATTTAAATAAAGATAAACTTTAGATATCAAGTAAATATATAATTTTAATAAAGAGCAACTTTAGATATCATGTAAATGTATAATTTGAATAAAGACAAACTTTAGATATCAAGTGAATATATAATTTTAATAAAGAGCAACTTTAGATATCATGTAAATGTGTCAAGTAAATATCTTAGTGTTTATTTTGTTCGAAAACTTTTTGTTATGTACAATGAATATTGTATAAATGATTTATACTTATATATATCTGGTCAATATGTGTAACATAGAAAAGAATAAGAGATGCATGCCTTGTATCAGGAGATAGAACATTTTTTTCTTATTTATTTTTAAAATATTAACTTTTAAGTTGTCATTTCACAGCTTGAAATTGATCGGTTCTTATACCGCTACCGGAATGATTCTTTAAACTGGTGGACCGGGTTACATAAAGTGGATGGAACCTGGGTATGGACATATAATAATGAGAGCTATTCTGGAATACCGTAAGTTTACCTACTTATAATGATACTCATAATAATTATTGAAATATCTGCATATATCTGTATAGACATGTACAACTTTTATATAATTTCTTTATAGGGAAACTTTTTTCGTTAATAACAATAAACTTTTATTCCCACACTAAATGAGCATATTCGTGTTTGTCTTACCTAGTTTTTACTTATTTTCACCATGTCTAAAATCTTCTGGTCATTGGGTTATGTTCAACTTGAGCCCCGCCATAAAGTTTGACTGTTTACTATGTAATTTGCAATTAGCAGATTAAAATATGAAAACACATATACATTTTCGTCTTGGATTTTATTTGTATTAAATTGTTCAATCTATACATTTGTACACACAAAAACAGCGTGTTTTAACAAATTTCTGATGATTTTGAACAGAAAATGGGCGCCAAATACACAGTTGAACGACACACTTTCAGCGAATAAATGTGGCCTCATCGATTATCAGGGATATTTAAATGATGTGAACTGTAACACCAAACAACATTTCATTTGTGAACGAAACAAAAGTGAGTACTATCTTAAAACAAATGTGTTAGATACATACATGTATATCATTGTAAGTGCTTGAGTTTTATGGCTTTTTATATGGTTTTTAGTTATGTTTTTCTGGTCTTTCAGGATCATTGATTCCAGCACGTTTAAGTGTTAAAAATTGAGTATGTTTACAAATCTTATGTAAATCTTTGGTATTTGATATATACGTCACAAAATCATTTTTTGCACATTGTCTTTAAAACATATACATGTTTTCTGATTTCCGGATTGTATTTTGTTAAAGCAATACAGCTGACAACACCGACGCATTCATCTCCCACTACCCGAGTTTCAACAGCATCAACAATCTCGACAAATTCAACAGCAACACCAACCACAACAAGATCAACAACATACGCTATACCAACACCAGATATAAGAACACCATCTACGAGGATTACAGAAAGTCCTGACACTACGAGAAGAACAACCACCATTCTTCCATCATCCTTCACAAACACTACAACAAGTGGTATGACAACAGAGAGTACAACTGAAGTACCCATTAAGTCGACTACCACAATTGGCACAACTGAAAAAGAATTGACTAGTCCTAGTCAGTCTAACACTGATAGCACCATTACTGGAATCACGTCTGAAAACACGGTTGCTCCAACAACTGAGAGAAACACAACAGAGGACCACATTGTACACACGACTGAAACATCCACTGTAATCCCTATAACAAGAACTTCGTCAAAAAGTACGAGTGTCTATACAACTACTGTAAATGGGACAGAAAGTTCCACATCCTCGACACACATACCATTTACCGATGAACAAACTACACAAAATACATCAACAGAATCTCAAATAGAAGAAAAGGACCTTTTTCGGGTAATTAATGCAAAAATTTTTATGATATAATTGTTTAGTTTACAAATACTTTTATAGGACGCATTTGTCATATAAGAAAATAATGTAAATATAAATAACTTTTGAATACATTAACTTTGTAGTATGTTAATTATTCCCATTTATTTACAGATCATCGTAATAATTTTGATAAATAGTGGATATCAAATGAATGTGTGTTCCATACTATATTTATTGAACAAGTTGAATAAAAGATATATTATGAGAACTTCTGCCTATTGTATAAATTTTCTTTGTGTTTACCTTTAGGGATGCTTCAAAATAAACTACGAAAGCACGTGTCCACCAGTTGAAGCATTTGGGTTTTCTTGGCCTCGCTCTGCAGCTGATACACGGGTTAGAGTTCGTTGCAACACAGGTAAGATATAGATAAAATAGATGCTTTAACAAGAAAATGACAAGCAAAGAATAACAAACATGAAGTGATTGCTATAAATTAATAGTATACCTGTTTAAAGTTATGTCATTATTGCACTGTCATTATTTGAAATGAAAATTGTTATGAAAATAGCGTATCTTTTAATGATAAGCGATGCAACTGTTAATTCCAAAATTTATTTTAAAAATTTAAAACTATTGAATAACTTTGCAATATCTAAATTTCACAAATTTACAATTGACAAATTGTTTTACCTCATGTAGGTTTTGCAAATTGGAAATGTGACACGAATCCTACATGTTGGAGGGGTGAACCGGATGTCAAACAATGCACTTCGGAGAGCGTACAAGAACTTACAAATCAGGTATTACACGATATTTGTTAAAGAATAAGTAACAATATATAATTGTATCTTATTTTGATTTGTTAAATATTTGTTAAAATTTTAAGAAACTTTATTAAACTAACCGCTGCTACTGATATAAAAATATTGACTAGAATTCCATTTCTGTTAATCAGAGCGCAGAGGTGTAGCGAGGAGGAGGGTATTGGTGTCTAAATTTATGCTCATTGTTGAAACAGTCGTTTATCGTTATTTATAAAATGCGTTTTAAGTGTAATATATCATACATATGTATACTGATCTTTCAAGCATCTTATTTAGGTTTTACTCACATAAGAAATTTATCCCTTCTCCATGACACAAATCAAATATTCATTAAAACAATCAAATATCATTCCTCAGATGGAAGAATTTCTAACAAATACCAGCAACTCAGAAAAAGCAATTGAGTTTACAGTTAATTTAGCGGCATCCGTAGAAACAGAGAATGTGATGTCAGAACAAGATTTATTCCAGTCAACAAAATTAATGGACGCGGCTTCAAAAGCCAAGCCAAAGAACTCGACTGAAGCAACTAGTATCATCAGGGTAATACATTAACTTTATTTGCAATCATTTATATCGAAAATATGTGTATATTTAAACCATTGGACGCCTTTATCTTATATATTTTAAATAATTTTAGACAATTTTGTTGGAAGAAATTAGTAATCATAATTATATTTGCTTGGTTGGAATATTTAAGAAGCAATATCTTAGTTCACATCTGTTATTATTTGTTGTTTTCATAAGAACGTTGCTAAATGTGGGAGCGGTTTGGTCGGAAAGACGGAGACATGGACGTCTATGAACAAAGAAAGTCAGAGGTCAGTAGCATCGTCATTGCTTACATCTATGGAATCTGTTACCAATAATATGATTGAAAGCTTTGAGGAGCCAATAGTGGAAACTATACAGGAGGAAAACATGGGTATTACTTTCGAATTCTTTCTTATAACATTTTGAAATATTTTTGCTAATTTTGTTTTTACTTTCTATTCCTTTTAGTTTATTTGGTGTTGTTATTGTTGTTGTTTTGTTGTTGTTTTTTTGTAGGGGAAGGGGTAGTATTTGCCAATTAATGTCCGGTCTTGGCGTTTCTAGGACTTCTTTACAAGCATTTATTTTATTTCTGTTTTCATTGTGTTAAAATGTGGCAAAGAAATGTGATATTTAAAGGTTGATACTAGCATATGGAGCTGTCAGACAGGAAAATAACATTTTTGGGGTGTATTCGCTACATTCAAGATAAATGAATGGGTTTGCAATTAAAATCAACACGGAAATTATATCATTTTCCAGCAATACAGCTACAAGTTATCGATGTTGACAAAAACGGATCAGAAGCAGTAGACACTATCTTTAAAGCAGACGAAAATGATTTTGCAATACCGCAGGAAAATTTAAAGCGTTTTAGCACAGGTATATTGTTATGTTCTGAATATTTTTACTTGAAAGAATAAAGCAAATATAAAGGCTTTGTATATACATTTATTTTATGAGGGCTATGTTAAAGATATTAAAGATGTTTTACCGTGTACTTATTTACCAGGATATTCAACATGTGATATGTATATTTGTTATATTTTTACAAAATAGATAATAAAAGTATGTTTCGATTATTTTTATTAATCTCTCGCCGCTGATTCGGAAATCATGAGAGATTTGTAGTCTGTCACTTGCGGAGACATTGATGATTTACTGGCTAGTTATTCAGGAAAGCAAATTGGTTGGAAGAACCTACGAGATATGACAAAAATGAGTTAATCAGCGTAAGGACCTAGAAACAAGCCAACAAAAGTTATTTTTCTAACTATGCAAACACTTTTATTTCAAGGTGGTTTGGCGAGATTGGTGTTCATCAACTATAAGTCAGTCGGAGATTATATGGTTCCAAACGACTACAATGCAGACGACTTTATAGAACGCCAAATGATAAGTCAAGTGATTAGCGCGTCTCTCAGCGAAAAACCTGCGAACGAACCGCTGCTCCAACCGGTCGTATTCACTTTGAAAGTCGAGAAGGTAGATGCATTTACAAACATACTAAGTAAAATTTTAAGCTACATTTTAAATTTTACAGAAATGCATGCCAATTGAATATCACCCTTTAATTTTGACTTTAAGTACTAACACTTGATATAACACTTTATACAGAAATGTTTTGAAAAAGAATTTGTTTGAGTTTTGTATGATAATAAAATAAGGTAAAATTATGTAATAATTTTTCTTTTGTAGATGAAGCCAGACCAAAACATAACACAACTTTGCTCCTTTTGGAATTTTAGTCTTGGGTATTAGTCAATTTTCGATATTCATATGTCTTAAACTTTTTTACAAATATGAGGTAACAACGTTGTATATCTTATTTTTTAAACATTTATATCTTTGTTGTACAAATTTGATATATTCTTCCTACTAACCACTGTACTGTACATAATTATGTAGGATTGATCAGTATTCCTTTCACACCATATTTATAGAAAAAAATGACCATCATGTCTAAATGAATCATGTTGAGTAATGTAACTGGCTGACTGTTATTATTTTCATGAATTAAATTCTAGGAACTTAGTCATCCCCACATTTTTTATTACAGACATACCGGAGCATGGTCGCAGGAAGGCTGTTCACTTAAAGAGAATAACAATTCACATGTGACGTGTCAATGTGATCATCTTACCAACTTTGCAATCCTTATGGATGTCCATAGCACTAAGGTCAGTTTGAAAATATCCATGTCTTCATGTATATGTTTTCACTGAATTTGAGAAAGAATATCAATCAGAACTTTTAATATGCTAGTAATTTTTAGAGAAAAACAGTTTTAATAGTCTAGTTTCGTGTACAAGTGTTTGCCAATTTAACGCATTATTTCCATGATCGTGTTTGTATTGTCGGTAAACGACTATCAATGTTGTATGTTTTCAGGTTGCAGATGTCCATTCAATTGTTCTGTCATATATAACATATGTGGGAATTATCATATCCATTATTTGTCTGGTGATGTCTTGGATAACATTTGTGTGTCTCAGGTACTTTCTTAGCTTACGTTTTGAATAGATAAATAGAATACAGTCCCTTTGCTTGTCGGCTTTATTAAAGAAAATTAAAATGACTGAAAAATAAGATACTGACAAACATGACTAAATTGCAAAATATTGCAGATTCGATCTGTTTCATCAAAAAATCAAAATAACATATTCGTTCAAACAAGCATTTGTTTTTGTTGGCAGTTTTAATTAATGGGTCGTTCATGATTAAACAGGATGGCTTTAATACATTTGTATGACTTAATACTCGAGTAGATTTACTGAATACAATATCTTATGACTAGCATCATTGGAACTAAGTTTTCTAGATCAGAGTCAAAAAACAAAAACAAAAAACAACTGTTCCCTACTTTTTATACAAAATCATGCTTGACTGGTAAAGCATCTCTTTCCGATGTTTTTTTCAAAGTCCGTATTAACTTTACATATGATTACAGTATAAGATGTATACGCGGATCAAGGAGTAGTTATGGATACGGGGAAGGCAAAGAGTATTATGGAAATAGCAGTAGTTATTCTGGGTCTACTGCCAGTTCACGGTATAAATAATGTTCACAATATGACTAACGCATGCTCACAATATCATTTATATTTACCCAACGTTACACTTTTATCTCTCGGTTTTGAGAAAACTTATTTAGTTCTCAAAATCAGTCTAATTTACTCTGCTTTCGGGATAAATAAACATGCTTTTTCGTCTAAATAACACACACTCTTTCCCATTTTCACAGTATTTTCACTTTATTATATATCATTTCACTATAAACACATATCATGATATAAAGAACACATACTCCCGCCAATGGTAACCATGGTATATATAGAACAAACTCGCGATACAAATATCACATTCTTTATGTTTGGAAACAATTGCTCTGTCATAATGATGTATATACAGCAATAGTGGCACAAGCTTTTGGTATAAAAAGACATGACAATTGTGGTTTAATAACATTTAGGGCATTTTAGATGCTTATAACCTGAAAAACGTAATGCTGATTTTGAAATTATTTGTCATAAAAGTAGCAAAATGTAAACAAAGTAGTATTTTGACTTAATAATTATAACTGCACTAATTGCCAAAAGTAACAGGCGCAAAAAAACATTGTCCAGGCAATTGGTTAATTAATAATTTAAGTAGTAGTTGAAACTGTAACAGGACACTAAAATAAAAAAAAAATATTAGCATTTGTAGGCTTAACGGGCCTTTAAAAAAAAGTAGAAATTTTCACGGATACGGATATAAAAGATGAATAAAAATAGAGACTCAATACTTCGTTTATGATGTAAACAAATATGATGACATGTTTGCAGCTATTCTTCACGTTATATTCGAAGATTTAGTGAGAGAGTATTTAGAAAATAAAAGAAGTTCACTGTTTTGCATGGCAAAAAATCTGTACAACTATACAGTCTATCCAACTTACATACTGACATATGAGCCGCATCACGACAAAACCAACATAGTGCGTTTTCGACCAGCATGGATCCAGACCAGCTGATCAGGATCCATGCTGTTCGCTTACCAACTCTATTACAAGTAGAGAAACTGATAGCGAACAGCATGGATCCTGATCAGACTGCGCGGAAGCGCAGGCTGGTCTGGACCCATGCTGGTCGCAAACGCATTATGTTGGTTTTGTCGTGACGCGGCTCATATGATTTTGGAATTATGTTTAGTGTTTTAGAATAGCCGTTTAACAATCAATAGATCCATCAAAGTATGAGAAAAATAAAACAGTTTTTGAAAATGTTTATGGTAGTGTCAAATGTATAAATACTAACTTAGTTATTAACAACTCTGTGATGGTGATAGGGTTGTTCCCAATTGATTTTGCTCTTGTCTGAATGTATATCTTTTTAACGTTTAAATGTTCATAACATTGGCAACATTAACTAAATGTAATCCATAAACTAATTTTTCTTTAAGCTATTTCTGCAAGTGATAAGTCGGTTTTATGAACTAACTAAATAACTAACTAACTAACTAACTAACAAACATATAATGTTGATACATTTTAACTTTTTATCGAATATACTTATAGCAAATCCTAAAAATTTTTTGTTTATTTTTTTATATTTTCATTGTATTGCTTTTTAAATTATAATGGATTTTTTTTTTAGATTTGCTTTTAAAAAAAGCTATGATATTTTTGTAGTATATGATATTTTTTATAGCGTTCATATATTATATGTAGTCTCCGTAAAATGTATATACTTTTTCTTTTTTTTGTTTAAGGCTTTTTAATAATATGAATTCACCCATAATGTACATAACAATGTTTTCTTATATTAAACAAAATAAAGATAGTTAATACAGTATGTACGAACTACCTTAAAATGAAAGGCAAGGTAGACTAACACATTTTTTCAAATTCTTTACTTGGATGCAATGTGTTTTGGAATTGTTAAATTTATTACAATTAAAACTTTCTCATTATTTTGACTTTTCAAAATTAAGATTGTTATTGTATAAATGAATCGAAATGTTGTTTGAAATGTCTAGATTTGTTTTTCCTTTTCGATCTAATGAATTGAAATGTTTTTGAAATGTCTTAATTTGTTTTACAGTTTCGATTCGATCTAAATGCTTCATATCGTCCATTCTGTTTTGAAATGAAACACATTTTGTTTCGTACGATCATATGCTTCAATTTTGAAATTTAATGTTCATTGTTTTTTCAGTTCTATTTCATTTCTTGAGTGTAATTCAATTTGACATATTTTTTGTTCAATTTCGCCGATAAGAAGAATTTGAACAACTTGCAATTGCGTAAGCAGACGAGGGTGTTAAACAATATATATCCTAATCATATGTATATATATATTTCAAACAAGGATATACATTTTTATGGTCATTCAATAGGTAAGTAGTAAACATGTGGTTTCATAAAAATATTTTGACAAACAAAATGATTTTGATAAATGTGATCTTACTTTTACTTTAGATCCATTCAAGGAGAGAGAAATTCCATACATAAGAATCTGGCATTCTGTCTTTTTATAGCAGAAGTTCTATTTCTGTTTGGGATAGAAAGAACGGATAATAAGGTACGTTCTGATATCTAACTGTGTAGGATTAGATCAAAATATTGTACTTTTCATATTTTTAATAAGGTTTTCTTTATATTTTTTTCTTTTATACATTTTGTGTTTTTTTCCGTAATATTTTAGAAACACACTCATCTCTGTGTGCAACTCTTCCTATATTCTAAATGATATTTTGAACAGAACTATTGTCATTAAGTGCCTAAGTGCAAGTTATAGAGGTTTTGTGATATAATCAATTTGGAGGAAGTTATAAACCCTTTTGCTGTTTTGGGGATTTTAATGTTAAAAGGAATAAATACGCTTCTGTGCAAAGATCTTTACGTACTAAAACATTTCTATATGAGACAATTCCTGTAATTCCTATATTATTATGCTAAAATCTATATAAAACATGAATGTAGTATAATTGTACATTTTTAAATTGTATTGTTGCATTTTTAATCTACAATATATTTGCAATTATTCACATCATTTTAATTTCAACTTGCATGTTTTTGTATTATTTCATTTGTATTATTTCAGATTGCCTGTGCTGTCATAGCAGGATTTTTACATTATTTCTTTCTGTCAAGTTTTACATGGATGTTTGTTGAGGGTATCCATATAGTATTTATGTTGGTACAAGTGTTTGACGCCGCCAGATCTCGACTTAAATACTACTATATCATAGGATATGGTATGTTTACTTTAGTATTTGTATAGTCTAATGGTCATTTGTCTCTCACCTTTTATTCAGAAATTATATTAAATGATTAGTCAGTCACTTACAATGAAATTGGTAATTACTGGTTAGTTATCCAGGAAAGCCGTTTTGTTGGATCGACCGTAGAGATTTGACGAAATGTGTTAAAATCGGCGTAGTTCAGAATACAATTTGCCTTTAGTTTATTTTATATCTAAAATGATTAATTGTAATCGGTACTTTAAAGCAAAAGATAAGTTTTGTTTTAGAGACAAATAAACCGGCTCTAAAATGTTCCTTGAAGATATAAGCATCACCCTTGAAAAGTCTCTTGAACTACATTTCTACATTGCTTTGCTTTAAACAATTTATTATACATACATATATATCATTTAAACATTCATGGGTATTCATATTTACTGTTTGTGTTAAGTAATTACATAATAATGTTTGCATTTGTCGTATCTTCATATTTATATTATTCTTACTAAACTTTTCAAGAAGGAAAAAAGGTTGCTAACACAGTGAGATGTGTTACTGTAAGCTACTGTCTAAACTATTTCAGTTGAAGATTCAAATAGATTTAAAAAAGCTTGAAAACTTGCTTTTTATTTTTCCTTAAGAATTTAAAAAAAATCAATTATTGCCATAAATATTATAATTTTTTATGCTCCTTTCTAGTTTGCTATTTCTACTTTGTATATTTTAAAGGGTTTCCTTTTAAAAAACCCAAAAAGCCCTCCACAAAAATTTTCCTAAAAAAAAGTACTGAAAATGTTCATTAAATTTTCTGTTTTTCCTCAGTTTGATTTTATAGAATTAAGTAGATAGTATGACGGAAATTTGTTTCAAATTTGGCCTATATACCTATGTACTGTGGAAGATTGATTGAACTTGTGTTTCTGTTATTAATGGATTATTTTTTATAAAAGTTGAAACATAATGTCATTCCTATATTGATTATCTAATTTAGTTAATGTATATTTAATTATTTTTTGTTAGAAGCTATTATCTTATATACAAGATTTAAAAAGGACAAACAAAAGAATGAGTGCTTTAAATGTTTTAAATATATTTTACAGTTGTTGGTTGACATCAGAAAGAAGTTTTATTTGGAGCTTTGCTGGTCCTATTGTTTTCATTTTGTTGGTAAGTTATGTTTAATATAGTAAACATTTATATTTGATATCATGATTTTTAACAAACAATTTATCAATTGTCAAATTATAATATTCCATTTATTGACTCATTTGTTAGAATATGAGCTTCTTTTCACATGATAAGTGTGGTTATATATAAACATTTACTTATTTTCATTTCCTATCCATAAAATATATATTAGAAGCAGACGTGTTCAATCTAGTTAGTTTATACGAATTTGATATAAACTTATTGAAATACTTTCGAATTCGTTCATGAAACCATCCAGTACTAAGCAATGAGTGTTAAGTTCTTGCCCATAGAATCAATGGCGTCCCCCTGACAGGGTCTGCATCAACGCGACCAGCAATCCCTAGTTTACCAGTCCCACTCGGCTATGCTGCCATTACAATATTAAAAGTGTAATTTAATTATCATATTATATTTTAGGTGAACCTTGTCGTCCTCGTATATGCTATGTTTGCTGTATGTAAACATTCCGAGTATGTGTTTACTAAAGACAAGTCCACGTCCTACAACATCAAGTAAGTAAATTGGATAAGCACGTACACAAATATAATATACTCTTATTTCTTGACATATATTTTGATACCTTTTTACAAGGCACTCTGTTCCTTTTCAATGACAGCATCCAACTGATGACCCCTTTTTTCTCCTATCTCATCATTATTAAGACAAGTTTGTAATTCTCAATTTAAGCCATAACCTGCTGAATTTATTCGATAGATTTGACCCGCTTTCATTTTAGAACGGTTTTTAAAATCAATTTTTTGGGAAATCAAGATAAAAATCAAAACTTATTCAGCTAACCGCATACCTGCTCAGACTGCAGTGTTCAGACGTGCAGACTTGCCTAGCTCTATACTGTTGACAAAGGTTAACGGGTGATTACTTTTGGATCCATCAGATTATTGTTAGAATTATTATTGGAGTCATTAATCAAATTTATTTCGGGATTTTGAAAGTTATTTTTAAAATACAAAGTAAACCAAATGAATTAGAAATAATTTTAGTATTTTGGAAAATACTGTTATCATACATATTCTATATCTTGTACTTAATGTAATGCGTAAGACGCGGTCTTTATCAGGTAATTAATATCATTCTCAAAATCATTTAAGATTATTTTACTTTGAAATTAGGTAAAAATTAAAACGTACTTTGTTTTCAGGTCATGGATACAGGGGGCGTTGGCGATGGAAGTTCTGTTGGGACTTACATGGGTGTTTGGATATTTCTATATCAGTGAAGAAGCGATACCTATTGCATACTTATTCACAATTTTCAACAGTCTTCAAGGCCTTTTTATCTTTGTTTTCCATTGCCTGCTCAACAAAAAGGTGATTTTTATATATATATATATATTATATATATATATTTTATAAACTTTCCTGTAATAACATTTAGAGCGGTTATGTACCTTAAATTGGACATATAAATTGTTTTATACTATTTTTGATTCAGATTTTTTGAGCCTTGCACTTTTGTTTGAATTTTGATAATGTGTGGAAATTTATTTATCTTTCAATTCTTTAATTGTTGCCTTTCAAAATCTATTTGAAAGACGTTGCTTTGATTTATGTCCTGTAGGTTTGTTAGTTATAATTTCTATAAAAGCGAAACCTCGCAAAAATAGTTGGATCACCATCAGTTACAAGCATTTTTTTGCATTTAGGCTTTATTATGTAATTCTTTTAAATTACAGTATTTGTTATAAAATTGCTCGAAATTTAGTATACAAATATTGAACACAAAACTGTCAGAAATTAACACTGAAATTTCCTCCTTTAAAGGATTATTTTGTTATAGAAACCAATCGGATATTGGCTGTATCATTTGAGTAAACTGTGCGTCATTTGTTACAATTACTAAACAAGTCTAAGGAGATCTTATCGGAACGCAAAGCAGTGTTTCCTCAATTATCAAGTGCGTAAAAACGCGTGACTCATACATACAGTTAAACACGAAACAAGTTCTGAACTAGAGGTTCGTTACTGACACTGCAGAATTCGTTTAAGAATAGTTCTTTATTTTATTTTACCAAGTATATAAATGCCAATGAACTATCCAGATTTCAGTTTGAAATTTTAAAATAACAAATGTATGACAGAAAGTCGAAAATAAAATCTTAGGACAACAATGTTATATCTTGTTAATGCTTCAAGGTATTTGACCATAAGTTCTAAACTTGAATTTTTCGATATTAAATGGACATTTCACGTATCTTATCTAAAGGTTTTTATTGAAAATAAGCCTTTATATTTAGGTGAATCTGTGTATCATTCCTTCTTTGAGAATTTTGTGTATCTTAGCCGGACAATCATACAGTTTGCTCATCAGACATCAAACATTATAACATTATTATCTTGGTTTCATACATTTTTTTTTATTCTACTCAGGTCCGGAAGGCATATTCTCGGTTCATAGATTACCCAGGGAGACTGACGTCAAGCGGGACACATTCAACTAAAGCTGACCAGCAGAATGGATCAGGTCCTACATTTGCATCATATCACATGCGTGGAACGAGAAAACATTCAAAATTTTTAGATCTTACGAATGACAGACGTCCGTCATCTATGTCCACAACATCTGCTTAAAACCAAATTTACAAGAGACTATATCAAATAATTTGCTAAATACTACAAAACTACAATGTGTATACTACTACAAAATGAAAAAAGATACACAAGATGGTCTAGAATTCGTAAGATTGCCATATATATTAGATGAATAGTGAACGCTCAAATGGCTAGAACATAGACGTTTCTTGCATTCTCTAAGACCAATGTGCTTGTTACATTGACAACTTTAGTACAGCAAGAAAGCAGTACAATAAAACCTTATTTAATTGCTTATGTTGCTTTTACTTGTTGAATTATTATATTTGTTTCATATGTTGCATTTACTGTAGGAAACAAATCATGTGTATCTTTTAGTATTACTTGGTGCTATTTATATCATTTTGTTGCATTTCTCGGTGATGTTTTTTTTCGGTGTTTTTTTACATGCTGTACAGTATACTTTGTGTTTTCCTTTAGATCTTGACTATGCTCTTGCCAATTGTAAGGCATTGTGTAAAAATGAAATTATTTTTCTTCTTTAAGTTAGGAAGAAGAACATAAGTCAGTATTAAAATTTCTACAAAAATAATAACTTTGTGTTCATTGATTTATATTATTTGTTTTTACTAGCATATTCGTCAGTCAATGTAAAAGGTTATGTGTATAAATAAATGAATAATTTCGACCACTTTTACAAATGTTTTAAAGTGAATTGGCCAATAATGGAAAATATATAATACCATTAAAACTTATGTTAGTATTTCACGTGACAACAAAGTATGTACTAATTAATTATACACGTAGAAGTTGTTAGTAAGTGTCGTTTACATGATCCGACATTGAATATTCATATGCCGGTATAACATATAATAAAGTCTTCAAAAACGTTTTTATTTTCATCAAATAATGTCCATGCTAAATCATTTAGATAAGATCAATATATTTTTTTTCAAGAAATATTTTGTAAGGACATCCAAATGGTACATGTCGATTGTTTTTATCAACATTTGAAATATGTTGTCATTGTGCACCAATCCACTTTAAATATCAAAAAGACTCTTTGCTATTTGTCTTATTATCCAATTTGAAAGAGGTTTTCAAATGAAACTTATAGATAATGTGTAGAATGATTTCAATAATGTGTGGAAGAAACCATTTTACATCTTTATTTATGTAATTGTATCTATTGTACATGTTAACGCTTTTAACTATTGAAATACGTTCATGTATTACAGTATGCCCGCAATAGTCATCACAAAGTATTCCATTTAATAAATGTGAAACATAGATCTTCTTGTCTTCTTTTTCATTATCTTTCAAACAGTTTGCATAACGGAGACAACCGGCAACACTCTGGGATAAACATTTAAAGCCGTTTTGTATGAATTCTTTCGTACGCACAAAAAATGCATGTTCATTAAAATGAAAAGCAATCAATTTTTACGATACATTCAAAGGAAATATTTTTATTTACTACATTGTATATTATATAAACAGAAATTAATTTTGTGCAACATGCCTCCTGGAAAGTCAACAAAGTTTTAGATTATTTAAAAATATATATTTAAAGTAGGAATAATATGTAAATAGTCACTGTAAAGCCTTGCACGTTGGACCCCATCAATTTTAGGGAAAATTTAAAAATAATTATTAATGGAATAACAAAAAATGCACGTCGTAATCAGCCGGCACAGATCTTGGTCTGCAGTGGTCGCATGGATAGTCTCTGTCGGCGCCAGCAGGGCTAATGGTTCATATACAAATTAAAACTGAATGTAATTTTTATATAGTTTCTATAGACGGGATTATAGTAACTTATAGACCCTTTATGCCCTCAAACAAGCTATCCTTTAACCTTTTTATGATTTGGTGTCTTGTCACAGTTTAAAAAAAAACTTATTAGTGATATTCATGAACTCTCTCCTGCTACTATTTCTGTTGGCAATTGGTATAATTATAATGAATTAGTATTTGGGAGGAAGTCAAAATAATACTTTGTTTATATTTTGCAACCTTCATGACATATTACTGCACATATTACGGCTTTAAGGTACTGACTTCGGGTCTTATGGTGACGTTTCTGCATGCTTTATTGGGGGAAGAAGATCGAGCCCATAGTGGTAAGGAGCAAAGGATTGGCTAAAGAGGCTTAATGGCATAATCTTAATAAAGTGATAATGTTTGTGCATATAAAGCTAATATATTACAACAAAACATTTTTTTAATAAACGAGAATATTTCAAAACATTATAATAGTATCATAAATTATATTTTAAGTATAATGTGAAAAATAACGGCGGGGCGTGCCCATTTTCTATTTTACCGCGTATGAAACGCTCTCAAAAATCAATTTATGTGTCGATATAAAAATAAACTACACCGTACAGCTGTCGGTGTATGAAACCGCGACTCGATTACTAAATACACGGTTGTAAACATGTGACGGAATAAACAAGACGTATAATTTTATACATATATTTATACATTCATCGACATAACTTATCAACCATATTTAGTTCTATATAACGAAAAGTGGATTATGTTAAAGTGACTGCATCCTATGTGATAAACGCAAATCTTTCATTTTATAAATTCCGGATGTTTTTAGATTAAGAATGTTAAAACATTCACATATTTTGAGGATATTTAGTTTGTTATTGATCAGTTACTGTCTAAGTGGTAAGCTACGTTTATCTTTTCATCTGATATTCTTAAAAAAATATGTTTCAAATTATGATATTCGGTTACAGTAATTGCATGCAACTTGTACCTTTGATTTATAGGTTTTTCACCTTTATCACAATTTTAATAAAAAGGTTACATTACATATTTTATAATTATATTTACAAAGCGTATTATCATTATAACGTATACTTTTTGTCCATTGCTACCTTTTAAATTATTTCTAAAACTCGTCTAGAAAAAATGGCAACTTCATTAAACATATGTAAAGGTAAAAAGACTTGCATAATACGAATCATGCAACAGACTGCACATATTCTAACAATCGAGTGAAATATCATTTGTATAATATACATTCTAAATCAAAATATTGTCAGTGGTCTAGCTCTTTCTTGCTTTGTTTATAAAACCATTTGTTCAAAATCTCAATCCTCTGAAAAAAAACCTTCTTTTGAAAGCCTTCTTCTTTTAAAGTGAAATTGTCTATAATGGTACCGTCTCCAATAAATAATCATGTTGATAGTATCAGACATAGCAACACACCATGACATAATTATATGTGTGTTGTTGACAGGTGTGAAATACATGATCCGATATAACACATATGTATATAGCAGATAATAAAATGCTCCAGAGCATAATATTATTATTCATATGATCATATAAATAAACACTTAATTATTTAGTACATTATCAATATTTTTTTCAAGCAATATTTCATAAAAATATCTGAATAATACATTTCTAAATAAAATTGCTTTGTATCAATATAGAATATACTAATAGAAAATATGCCCTTTGTAGACCAACCCACTTTAAATGTATTATAAATCAAATTTTACTTTGTTATATATCATTATATGTTGCTATTTCTGTTCCGTTTCTTCCTCTTTTTCTTTTATTATCTTTCAGGGAGTTTCAATTTTATAATAGCTTATTGTTTTACGGAACAAAATACTTTTGTTAAGTCATGCAGCGCTGTTCCTTCGTGCATTTAAATTCAAGATATAATACATAAAAATAATGTTCTTTCATTTTTTCCCAGTAAATCTTATGATTCAATATGAAGTTTTCAGACAAATTCCGGCATAATACTTTCAAATAAAATGTATGATATTTATAGAATATGGGGCTTAATGTCAAATTGAAATAAAAATCATTTTATTATCCATATATCAATTTAATAGTTTGTGTTTTACCCAACCCTTAACACTTCATTTAAGTTCATTTTAGTTTCATTTAACTGTGTGTTTTTTATGGATTTTTATATGTGTTATCAGCATTGCTTAAATAAAAAAATATTGTTTTATAGCTACTCTTAAAAAGCTAATGTAAACATGTCAAAACAACTGAGTAGGATTTAACCACAGCTTAAAGACACATAAAGCATATTTTCTTCTCTAGAAAGGGCAATCAAACTTATGCTTTAATGTGGTAATAATAAAGTGTTTTTATTTATGACTTCCATACAAATGTTTTTTTTTCAATTCCATACGTATTACTATATCAAAACAAGTCTTATTTGAAAGATTCTGAACAAACTGTACTAATTTCCAAAACGCAAAGGCTCAGGTTTTTGGCCAATGAGTAACATTTTGGAAACTGTATTTCATGAAAATAAGCATTAATCTGGAGGCGTGCTGCTTTAAACGGATGACAAGCTATCGTGTATAACCTGTTGAAGTTTATAGACCACAATATTTATAAGATGACGTAAATGTTCGTGACTAAGCTCCCATATATATTCCGCCAGAACATAGCATAAATATTTTAAACTTAATGATACGGAAATAAAATCGATATATCAAATGAGTCTATTTTTATAGAGCAAAATCGTGTACATTAATGTATACGATTTAAAATGTAGCGTTACTTTTTTAAAAATATTTGATATTAATAAATACGGAAGGGCATTAGTGGCAGGTGTATGTTTTTTACTAACTCGAAATTTCGACTAACTTACCCGAAATTTCGACATACTCATCTTGAAACTTCGATTTACTGACTCGAAATTTCGAGTTACTTACTTGAAACTTCGAGTTAATTAACTCGAAATTTCGGCTTACTAACCCGAAATTTCGACTTATTAACTCGAAAACTCGACATATTAATTCGAAATTTCGAGTGATTAATCTCGAAGTTTCGACTTCATAACTCGAAATTTCGACTTAGTAACTCAAAATTTTGACTTGGTAACTCGAAACTTCGACTTATTAACATTACTAGAAAGTTATGAGTTACCAAGGGTTAAGATAATATAATATATAGTAGGGAGTGTGGGTGAACGATGGAGATGGAGAAACAGGTGTTAAAGTTAAACTTAACTACGTAATGGCATGTATACGCCCGACCTAAAAAAACACAAGGCTTCCTTTAATTTTTACGTTCAGGCGTTCTTCAGACGTTGTATTGTATCCCACATGTTCGAACAAATCGTTTCACTAATCCTATTCTTCTCATCACTATGAATAAAACGATCCTAAGTTACTAAGTTTCGAGTTAGTTAGTCGAAATTTCGAGTTAGTAAGTCGAAATTTCGAGATAAGCAAGTCGAAATTTCGAGTTAATAAAATACATACACCTTGCACTTATGCTCTTCCGTAAATAAAGGCAAACGGGTTTATATTCTTATATTTAAATTCCTCATATTAAAAAGTATATATCCTACGTAGCATTGAAATATCATTTATGTTTACACTAGAATATTGTAAGTTTTGTTGTTGTTTTTGTTTGCTACTGTTGTTTTGGTGGGGGTTCGGGGGGTTATTGTTTTTTTTTTACATTTTTATATAGATGGAAGTATATAACAACTTTGTATTACTCAGAAAATCACTGTTTAGAATAAAGGGAACATTAATTTAAATTAAACAAATCCTTTTCCGGAGATAAAATCCCATTCATCAAAATAGATATTACTCAAAACGTAGGTGGTAGTTATATTTCTACGCATACGTCTTTCCTACGTATATAATAAATTCATAATTTCATATCATATACAAATGTGCACACAAACCGACAGGTGGCTGACATTGTGTGATAAAGTTATTTATAATTATGTTATAAATATATACAAAACATCAAGCCTTCAGCAAAATATGTGTGTAATAAGTAATATGTGTTATATTATACGTTTATTTTCCCTCTGTTCATTTGCATATGTTGCGTGTACTCTATAATTATGTTATTTAGTCTAACGTGAGAATGTTTTGGGTAAAGACTTATTTGGAGGTGGTTTAAATTGTTATCCTAAAATGATGTCAATGTTTGTCTAACATTTTTTTCTAAAATACCGTTTTGCTTTGATAGATATTTAGATTTATTATCAAAAGTTATAATTTTATATATTAATTGGTATATCATGCTATAATAATGAGTTTTAGTAACTGAAACCACATACAAGTTATATCGTAATGTAATATAACTGTTTGCCATTGGTATATTGTAAATGATTTATTGCCATTGGTATATTGTAAATGATTTATTGCCATTAATTTAGTATACTGTACATGATTTATTACCATTGGTATCTGTAGACTCTATATTATACATAAATGATTGCCATGGGTAACTTTTGCCATTTGTAAAGTGTAAATGAATGATTGCCTTTTTTATATCGTACATGAATTATTGCCATGGGAATATCGTACATAAACGTTTGTCAGTGGTATATATTATACATTAATGATCGTACGTGAATTATTGCCATGGGTATATTATTCATAAATGATTGTCATGGTTACATCGTCACCTAGGTGCAGTAACTGGTTAAACCTCTAATTCCATAGGAGTTAGTCCGTTACTGCACTGAAGGTGATCAATTCGTACATGAATGATTGCCATTGGTAAATTGTCCATGAATTATTGCCATTAGTATATTGTCCATGAATGATAGCCATTGGTATATTGTACATGAATGATTGCCATGGATACATTATTCAACGATACAGTTTCGACTCAGAGATCTTATGAAATCGCTTAAATAGTATATAATTCTTTATCATCTAACTTGAGTAATGAGAAGACACAAATGTAACCACAAGTAGATCAGAAAAGATTAATATGTCCTGCCGCAATCAATTTTCAGCTCAGATCTGATAAGCCCCTTTAATTGATAAGTGTTTCCGCCGAAAGTATAAAATTGAAAATACACAAACATGATCCAACATGCACCAGGATGCATTTTTTTATCAGTACTACAAGGTTTTCAAAATAACATTTTATTTTCAAATAAAGTGCAAATACAGATAAACTGATTCTATACCATGTAAATAAATTATTTATATTTTATTTAATGTTAGGGAATGTCACTTATAAATAGTATTAAAACTTTAAACTTGTTTACTAGATCCGGCAAAACTTAGGCGGAGAAATCTTATTGATCCAATCTGAGTTTTTTTTATCGAAAGTTAAATAGATACACAACTAGACGAGGATATAGCAATTTAATAGGAGAGCACACTCTGGCGAGAGAAAGGGCCAATATGAACTTAAGAGCGAGAAGATAGACATAACCACACATTGGAGTGATTTAATGGAAAATCCTAAATAAAATATATATGGGTAGATAATATTATGTATAAAAGAAGTAGCAGCAAAGATAGCATCAGACTATGAGGTAAAGACATAGTTATATAAGAAAGACAATAATATTTTTTAAGTCACAGGGAAGAGAAGCTTAAGACGCACAAAAGTAAGATAAAACTTAAAAAAAAAGAAAATAGAGAGAACATTAGCTGTAGCGGTGAAAGTAGAACAAAAAGAGGTACAAACACATTAGATCTCACTTGATTTATAGAAAGTAATTAGAAAACATACACATTCTGCAACACAATAAGATTTAAGCAAGAAATAAAAAAAAAATAGAAATTAATATACGAAAAAAACACATGATGAACGAACATTCAAAGGTTTCGTTTTAAGTAACACTTGAGAGGACGAGATCAAAATGAGTTATTATGCTGTGATATTTTTGATTAATAATATAACAAATAACAAAAAACGTTCATTGAAGCCCTCTTCAAGGTTATTATGAATGCGTTGATTGTTGCTTGGTTATAGGGTCTAATTTGCAGTTTCTCCGTTGAGTTCGTTGGTGCCTGATGATGAACTGATGAAGATGTGATGAATGTGATGAAGATGACTACTGATGATGGAATGTGCTATTATTGGTATTATAATATCCGTTATGCATCACAAATTGGGATATTTCTGCAATCTATTCTTCGGGAGAATCCAATATTTATTTTACAATGTTTTGTTCACATTAAATTAGGAGTCATATACTAGAGACTTGGTGGCTGTGCTCTATGGTTTCTCGCATAGTTCGGCTTCTGCACAGAGAAACGCTTATTGTGAGTCAATCCGATAACGAAATAAGGGGCCTAAAAATCCAAAAGATACTAAGAACAAATGAAATTTCTATATTAAAAAATAAAATAAAAAAAAAAAAGACCCCCATCTAATGCTATCCCCCATACAATACAGTCATATTTTTAGTGGCTTAAAGACTCATGTTCCTATATCTAATTGTAATCAAGCCGTTCATTAATTAATATCTAATTGCAATCAAGCTATCCATTAATTAATATCTAATTGCAATCAAGCCATCCATTAATCAATATTTAATTGCAATCAAGCCTTTCATGAATCATCATCTTATTGCAATCTAGCCATCCATTAATCAACATCTAATTGCATTCAAGCCATTCATTAATCAATATCTAATTGCAATCAAGCCATTCATTTATCAACATCTAATGGCAATCAAAAGCCATTCATTAATCAATATCTTATTGCAATCAAGCTATTTCATTAATCAATATTTTATTGCAATCAAGCCATTCATAATGAATACTTTTTATATTTTAGTATCTGCCGACGGATATGGTTGTGAGTCACAATGGCAGCATCTCCACAGAATCATGTGTTCATTTTATAACAGACAGGCTTAATTGGCAGGAGGCACGAGATCATTGCAAAAATCTAGCATCTGACCTTTTGAGCATTGACAGCAATCAGGAAAATGTAAGTTTTCTAGTTGATTTTTTTCAAAATGGTAGCTAAAAATAAGGTGTACGAATGTGCATATGTATTGCTCTTTTATTGCCTTTTTACAATTTTCATAGTCTGTAAATGCATGATTTGAACTTGACACAGAGTTGTAAATTTCCTACACTCCACTTAGGAAGTATTTGATTTCGGATCTAAAAGCATACTTCCTGTACATAATTGCATATACTTCTGTAATCTATAAGTGTATCAATTTTGTGATCTTAAATGTGTATGTTTTTATTTCCCTCAACGGTCGCAAATTGTGGGTCAGTAATATTGTATTTCATGTATTGCATAATGTTACCACATGAAAATAAATGGCATTGCATTTCCGTTGCAGAAACAGATCAAAGGGTTAGTAAAACATTATGTTGAAAACTCAACAGAATGGTGGATTGGCATACGACAGGTCAATGGAACCTGGCAATGGGTCGATGGCGAAGAAGCATACGCGAAAATCCCGTAAGTTGTTACTAGCTACTCCTTTCACTGACATAACCTAGCTGTAATTAATCAAATTGTAATACATGTACTCTAAATTAAATTTATTGGAGTTTCATCAGTAACATAAAACAGGCAATAGCTCAATTATTATCGTTGCTATTCTGAAAGACTTTGAATAAGATCAGTTAGTATTGATTTGCGAAAAAGAGGACTTAAGCCGGTGCTAGGGGGCCAGGACGGTAGCTTCATTTCACTTGCCAGTATCGCCCGTTTACAGGCTCATTCAAAGTTAACAAGCCTGCAACATTTTCAGTTTTGCTTTATGGATTTCATTTTTTCTATACTTCAAAGATTTCAATATGAATTTATTTTTCTTTAAACCTAGGCAATGGGCGCCAGCATCAGATAGCTATTCTGACTCAAGAGAAGATAGTAATATCTTAAGTGATGATAAATGTGCGGTTATAGACGATAAAGGAAAACTCAGAGAAAAGTCGTGCATCAGAGAAATAAGACCTTTTATTTGTGAAAAGCTCCCAAGTAGGTTTAACGGTCTAAATTCACAAAATTTGTACAAGTAATGTGAATTAAAGAAACAACACCCTTTTATTGCACAATTATTTTAAACTTACGCATGATTGAAAAAATTTAAAATGAGTATTAAATACATTAATGTGACAGATATGCAGAATGTCAAAGGTCCTATTCTAAGATGAAAAATTCTTTTTTTATTATTATTATCATTTTTATCTATATTTATCAATTTAAAAAAAATCGATCTGATGATAGTAAGTTTCTTTATACGTTGACATTTAACGTAATCAGATGTTATTTCCTACTGAAGCATTTACCACGCCTGTTAAAACTGATACAACTGATTCAAAAACGGGTGGCAAAGAAGAAAAACCAACTTGGGCAACACCAAAAATGAATGACCACGTGCGGCCATCACTTCCAACGGCTAGACCAACAAGTAAACCACGAACTGAACGTCCAAAAGATTCTCAAGAAACTACTACAAAAGCGTCAAAACAAGATGACCAATTCGCGGTAACAGATTTTAGTTACTAAAATACTAAGCATATGACCATACTTGAAACTGCATAAGCAGCCCGCTGCTGCTTTCAATGTCTCATGTTTAATTGTAAATTATTAACTCTTACGAAGCTAAATATCTTAAATGGACTTGTCTGCCTTTCAATCTTAAGAAACTCATACATAAATTTCAGGGAAATTTTCAATATAAGTACAGTCAAATATGTGTACAGCAGCCACTGAAGAGATTCAATGCATAACAAACAGTGCAAACCCTGATTGGACGGGGAATGGTATAATTAGTTGCGGATAGCAGGATTAAGTCGAAACACGAGGCTATCTGATTTGTAAGAGGGGGTGTAGCCCCAGAGTATTAATCAGATTGCCGAGTGTTTCTGTCTCTCTTGTATCATAGTCAAACATAAAAACACGTTCTCTCTGTTATCACAATATGAAACCCCAGAAAAAAATTAACCAATGAACGAGCATCTGAATATGATATTTCTATCGCTTTCCTTTTCTCTGCCGTCACAATAAGTAAACCCCAGCAAAAATGAGCCTGTCAATAAGCATGCTCTGAAGTGTGGGTAACTAATACCTGCACTCTAGTTAACGCACTGTGCATGTATATGTATACGATTTAACTCTGACACATTTTCAAAAGAAAGTTCCCAAACTATGATACAAGGCAAGGTTAAAGGACACGGATCATTTTGTTTCTTCTATATATATGCTATGCTTAGATAACAAAACAGTATAAGTAATTTATATATATTTATGTTTTAGGGTTGTTATAGTGTCAATCATGAGAGTACATGCCCTCCTGTGAACGCATTTGGAATATCATGGCCTCGTACAGAAGCAGGAAAAATGGCTAGAGTTGCATGCGGCAAAGGTGATTGTATTATAGCACTTTTTCTTTGTTTTACGTATAACAGCTTTTAAACTCTCAGGAATTCAACAATTTCAGTATATCAAAAGAGCATTTAAGACAGTAGTAACCATATTATGAAAATTTTTATTCGCTAGTGTACATGTTCTTCCCTGCTATTGTACATTTTAAATAATATTTCTCAATTCTATGCAGGCCATGCCAAATGGAAATGTAACAAGAAACCAACATGTTGGAAAGAAGAACCAGATATAAAACAATGTACATCTGAGAGTATACAAGAGCTAACTACACAGGTAGCATTTGAAATGATATTAGATTTGTATGACCATCTTTAAAGAATCACATAATACAAAGTGTAGGAGTACATTAAGCGTTCATTCTTTATACAAATAAGTGAAAATGATATTAACTTTTATGATATATAAGCAGTGACTAATTCACATATAAACTTCATTTTGCATATTATACATAACCCTGTCACCGCTAGATACATTAAAAGGTATGTCCATCTTTCAATTTGCGCAAAACCAATCGTCATTTTAGGGAACATTTTTAAAAAAAGTCCTAACTGGAAGGCGAACAGTGCAAATCATGATAAGACGGCGCGGATGTGCCTGATGATCTTGATCCACATTTGTCGCGTAGATTCTGGTGCCACTTGCAGGCTACTGTAAAGGTTAAAAATATATTTTATCAAAGGCAGACGAATTCTTAGCCGACCCGGAAGATTCTGAAAAAGCCATGACATTTACTGGTAATTTAGCAGCAATGGTAAACGAAACAGAGGAAATGTCAGAACAAGATGTCTACCAGACAACAAAACTAATGAACGCTGCTTCAAATGCTAAACCAAAGAATTCGAAGGAAGCAAAAGGCATAATTAAGGTATATCATCATGAATAGCTTTGAAAAGAATATATAATTAAAGACAAACTGATGAGGAAGGTGTTTCTTGTCATATTAAATATAAGAAGTTTAGCACAAAAAATGCATAAATTATATATTATAATTATTGAAAGTAAATGTTTGTAGACTCTGTAATCTTTAATATTTTTACGACCTATCATACTTTTTACATTGAAGAATTAATATTTATACTAGAATGTTGCTAAGTGTGGAAGTGATTTGGTTAGAAACGATAAGAAGAAGACGTGGTCCAAGATGAGCAAGGAAAGTCAGCGAACTATAGCCTCATCTCTACTGAACTCGATGGAAGCTGTTACCAATAAACTAATGAAAGCATTCGATAAACCTACAGTGGAGAAAATAGTTGAAGACAATATGGGTAATTATTATTTAATTCATTACTCGTGTGTTTGTGTTTAATGTTTCCATGGCATGAATTTCGAGTGTATTATATAATTATAGTACGTAAAAAAGTGATGCAAAACATTAACATTTTCCTTCGAAGACCTTTATTTGTTTTTTTGTTATTACAGAAATCGAGTTACAAGTTATAAATGTAACTGCCATACCTGGAAGCGAAGGTCCCATGTTTCATGGTGAATCAAATAGTTTTACAATACCTTCGGACATTCTGAAACAATTCAACACAGGTAAATGAATTATATTTCTAAAACAAATGTTCGATTTTTATTTTCAAATTTACCATTTGAGTATACATGAAAGCAATACATTTTCATAACAATGTTTGATCCTTTGATCCAAATGTGTTTTTCATTGAAATAATGGTAAAAGAAGAAGTATCTTTATTTGCATGTTTGCTCTAATTATGAACAGAATATTTCAACTTCCAAATGAATTTATATAACTTCATAAAAATAGTGTCAGGAATCGTTTAACAAAACCAATAAGAATGTAACGAGGTCAATTTGAACAGTGTGAATACATTTGATAAGTATGCAAAAATTATGGTACATATCTAATAAATTAGAGTTTTAACAATGATACTGATATATCTATGTTTAATTATCATATACTTATTAACTTTAGGAGATTTAGCACGATTGGTGTTCATTAACTACAATAATGTTGGACCTCTGTTAAGTCCGGCTGATGACGAAGCAGACGATAAGTTAGAACGCCGTGTAATGAGTCAAGTGCTAAGTGCATCTCTTGATGAGGAGCTTGGAGGGAAGACACTGGAAAAACCTGTTACATTTACATTGGAAATCAAACATGTAAGCTATGCAAAATTTGTAAAATTCATACTTTGTTATATTAAAAGATTCTTTTGTAAGATTGTTTGTCACGATTTTGATGATATCGGTTTTAACTTTTATAAAATTATCGTTTAATAACATCCTGCTTATAAAGATCATGTTTCAAAGGGAAGAGATAATCATTTTGAAAAGTTGTCGGTTGAGCTATTCTGTATACAGTCATATTTTTATGACTGCTCGAAAGCAATAAATCCTATTCTGTTATAATGAATTTAATAAATTAAACATCTGTTATGTTAAAAACTTTGTATTTCATTCATGCATCAGTCCGTTAAGATTAAAGAAAAGTTATCAAATAAACCAATACGTATTCAAAATGTATGTCTTCATCTTTTTCAGCAAACTCCAAACCAAGATATGATTGATCAGTTATGTTCATTTTGGAATTTCAGTCTTGGGTAAGTGAAAAAAAATAATTTCATTGCAGATAAAGCAGCAACAAATAATAAGCTTCTATATGAGAAACGAATACATGTATATTATAACATTATCTATGATTTATAGCAATATATTGTTATCATATTCTTAATAAAGATAAATGAAATCCCTTTACGAGTCCAAAACGGCAAAAAAAATTGTGCAGACTCGCTTTGTTTTAGCCTAAAGTCATTCAGTTGCAATTAAAACATATGTCATATTAGAATCTTTTCAACACGCTATCTTACATTTTTCAGGTTCTCGGGAGCATGGTCTCAGGAAGGCTGTTCTTTGAAAGAGAAGAACAAAACACATGTGACGTGTCAATGTGATCATCTTACCAATTTTGCTGTCTTAATGGATGTCCATAGTACTAAGGTTGTTATATGTTTCAAGTTTGTAATAGAAAATAAGAATATAGCAGAATTTGCTCCGAATTCAAGATAGTATAATAACATTAAACATGTATTCTGATATACGTGCATTGACAGGCTAAAATATCTTGATAAATGTTTTATTATTTCTATATTAAATTAACGTTTTCTATTATTATTCACCCTGAATATTTAACAATAAAAACTATTATATCAGACTAAAGTGTTATGAGCATGAAGATTTCCTAAATGCTCTTTTAATTTAACAATTAAAGGTGCAAATAATCGTCAGACCGCCTCAACCTTATGTTTCTCTGTGTCAGTAGATACTCCTTTACTGTTATTATGTTGTTTTTTTTTAAAGAAACACAAGTCTGTGTATCTTTTATAACATCCATACAAATGGCCTTACTGAATTATATAAAACATTCAAATCATGCATTGACTGAATAACTTTCACACTAATGTGATGCATCCTTAAGATGTTATAGGCTTTGTTTTATTCATAATTTTTTTATATGTCTAAACCTGAAGAACCCACTAAAACCTGGACATTTTCTTTAAAGGGACTCCAATGAGGTTTAAAAGCCTAAAAACATAGCATTTGAATTTCTTACATAAATGAGCTGGGGCACTTTATACAGAAATATATGCAAATGTAGTTAAGAAATGTACTTTATAATAAATTGAAAATCGTTTTTTTATGCTTTTCTTAGCAAAGTGTTTAAACGCTTATAGTAATGCAAATTTATGCTAGCAAACTATATATTTAATAAAAGTACCAAATATCTGGCCTACAAATGATGTCCAACATTTAAGTTGTTGAAATGGTTTAAAGCAAAAGTGATGATATCAGCAACAATCAGTCACAACTCTTTCTCTAACTTTGACACCATCAAATATTATTGTTCTTCTCCTAAGGTAAGTCCCGACTAACGAATCTCAATATCTGATTTTCTGTTTTAGATAGAGGCAATCCATGCCAATGCCTTGTCTTATATCACTTATGTTGGCATAATCATCTCCCTTGTATGCCTCTTTCTTACCTGGGTCACTTTCGTTTGTCTCAGGTAAGTTAATTGTCTTAGTTTTACATTCATCATGTAACCATTACTTTGCAGATTCAATGTTTTAATGAATGCAAATCTATCGACTGTCATCAGAACTGTTTTTACTTTTTAATACCTTAGATACATATTCATGTTATTTGAAAGGTCAAAATTGGAAGTACAAATTTGAAAAGTTTTCATTTTGTTTTTCTATATCATTTTTAATCTAGACAGATTTTTGTAGATTGTCAAATACAAAAATAGTTGTAGTGACTTAGATTTTAATCATATTCATGTAATATCAAATAATGTGTGTTTTTATTTTACTTTATGTTGGTATTTACGTATAATTATTAATTGATACATATGATTTTTTATGTTTCAGTATACGTTGTATACGTGGCAGTAGAAGTAGTTACGGACACGCCGAAGGTAACGAATATTACGGCCAAAGTGGAAGTTATACTGGATCTACAGCAGGTTCACGGTAAACGACGCTTCTCCTGTTTTCCTGATAGATTATTTTATCAACCATTTTTGTTAAGTTAACAAAATATTTGGTCGTTTCGACTTTCGATTCAAAATTTAAAATGGTGCGCTAGTTTACCAACGCAAAAAAATCTAAATAGTAAATAGTTTTTGAACAAGATGACATCAGTTCAAGATATTCATATTTAGGAGATCGAATTATTAGTACCAGAACAGTAAGGGCTGCAACTTGTTATAACACGATAGTTTAATGGAACGTGTAAATGCAGTCCTAGTCATATGATTAATGTAGTTATATTTTTTATAACAACCATTTAACGGATGATTTCTCATAACGGCCAGTAGCCTTAGGACGAACATATTTCAATATTTTATGATTGTAACAACCCATTATCAACATAGCTTACAGTATAGTACATATCATGAAAATAATATGTTTAACTAAACTTACTGATACATTAAGATTTGCTTTATAATAACTTATTACATTTCAGTTCTGCTCAAGGAGAAAGAAATTCTATCCACAAAAATCTTGCTTTCTGTTTGTTTATTGCTGAATTACTATTCATTTCCGGGATCGACAGGACAGACAATATGGTATGATAAATTCAAATAAACTGTTTATTTTCAGTTAATTATAATTGATGCTGTTTAACTCGTAATTTGTCTCGGACTCTTTTAAAACATACATACTTTTTATACTTGTTAACCAGTCCTCTCGTTAACTATAAGATATAAGGATCAGAATCAAGATAAGGATCAAATGTTTCCGTGGACTTGAAATAGCATATTTATGAAATTTTAAGATCAATTTTTTTATTACTGTTCAAGATATGGGCATTTTACAGTTGGTCAAAATATTGATCTTGATCCTAAAAACCGATCCTTATTTTGATCTGATTATTTTAGTATTTTAATTGTTTTTTCCTCAATATCCAAAATAGGATTGTTTCTTTGCGAATCAGTCATCTTTTACATATTGTTAATGTACCATTTATGAAAGCCTAATACAATAAACTTAAGATTCATAAAGCAATGAATCGTGATCGTTTGATGCTGATTAATGAACACTGGGCCTGTACCTTCTTTTAAATATTTCAGGTTGCATGTGCTCTAATAGCAGGATTTCTGCACTACTTCTTCTTGTCCAGCTTCACATGGATGTTTGTAGAAGGAATCCAAATACTGTTTATGTTGGTACAAGTCTTCGATGCTGCCAAATCGAGGCTCAGATATTATTATGCCATTGGCTACGGTATGAATAAATCAAATGTTATAAAACGACCTAAAATAATTGCACCAAGATTGATATCCTTTTCATTACTGTAATAATCATAATATTAATAATAGAAATAACTTTATTTTACGAGATATAGCTTCGTAAAAATGCAAATTTAAATGTGGACTCAGGAACAATAAAAAAACGTATACAATAAGCCATTTTGAATAACATAACAAATAATTTGATTTATGTCACATTCATTCTTTGCCAATTACTTTAAATTTCATTTAACGAAACTTGATATACATCAACAATATGTATTTTCAAACCAACCATATTAATTTCCTACACACGTAAAATTATTACCATGTTTTTATATATGCTTTTTCAGGTGCCCCATTACTAGTGGTTGGCATATCAGCTTTAGTTTATTATGAAGGTTACGGAACAGAAAGATAGTGAGTTCAAAAAATTATACAATATGTAAATACTGAACATCTTAGTATATTTTTCTCAAAGTTAATTTTTCTTGGATATTTTGGCTCATCGCAAAGCATGCAGATTTGAAGATAAACCTGCTATTGCTATATGGACCCGCTATTCGGTATTTATTGGTGTTATCATTTTAACTATCGTATGAAAAGTGAATTACAAATACAAAATCAATCTAAAATATTGGCATTTCAAGGAAACCAATGCCGTATTACTATAAAACTATTCATATCGGTAAAGAAATTAAAATGTTGTTAACATGACAAATTATTGTTGTTTTTTCTACAGTTGTTGGTTGACTACAGACAGGATGTTTATTTGGAGCTTTGCTGGTCCTGTTGCATTTATTTTATTGGTAAGAAAAATATATAATTTAATGTATATTATTAATGTGACAAAATTTGCGCATAAATTTTGTTTACCTCTCTATCTCTTTTTTATTTGAGTCGAGACTTATTTGCTCCGTACTTCACTTCAGTGTTGTTATATTTTTCTGGTCCTTGGAGATCATTGAGTCCAGAACTATTGAGTGTTGAGAATTAAGTACCACTCAAGCCGGTGCAAGGGTGCGTGTGAGATGTTGCACTTATTCATTATCCCTCATGTACAGACTAAATCAAACCGAGTCTGCAATTTTCATGTAATTTTGCTGTTTTTAATGCTTCCAATGGATCACTTTTTTCCACAGATATTTATATTACATTTAAATATAGCTCTCTGATTTGTGAAAATTGAGGTCAAGACATAATATGTTTGTATGGTACTCATAACTGCTAGAAGGTTTATATTATTAATTTGTATTTTTGTGGACACAAAGCCCTACATTAGATGAAAAATATGAAATATTTTGTGTGTATATCTTACAGATGAATCTAGTGGTCCTTATTTACGCTATGTCTACAGTATGTAAGCATTCCGAATACGTGTTTGATAAAGATAAATCAATGTTTGGAAGTTTTAAGTAAGTACAAAACTATTTTACATAATGTATAGATGTAAATGTGCAAATAACCTTACTAAATGTTTGCATCTTCGTTTAATGATTTTTTCAGCCAAATTAATATAGACAATAGATATTATTAACATTAAACATGGTACAAATGTTGAGGGCAACAAATGATGAAAAAAATCAAATACACACCCCATATACAAATGGTTAGCATTAGTGCAAATTAAGGTAATAGCAAGTCCTCTATCTTCCATTAAACATTAACAAATGAAATGCATCTTCATTAAGCATTCTGATATAAAAATAATAATATATAAAAATAATAAAATAATACCAATATACAATGTATATATACAGTAATTGTTGTCGCTTTGATTTTTTATTTATTTTTTTATTAATATTTTTTTTAACTATTTTATATTCTTCAATCTAACACGCATATACATGTACTATGTATGATTATAGACAGTATTAATTATCTCTTTATCATATTTCACATTTCTGTTAAATAACTTAAGTACAACTTGAACCTTATCCACAGTGGATCAATGTCCTAATTAAGTAGATAATAGGTTAAAGACATCATATCGGCTCAATAACTGAAGTACCAGTTGACCTAAAACCTATTTGCTTTGACGTTATATGATGCTCTTATTGAGAAGATGACCTCTGTCTTTTTGGCGGTCTTGTTGCCTCATCATGCAATAAAAAGTAAAGAAAATAAATATCTAAATATCTCCATTGTCATTCGGCCCAAATTTAATATGGCTATGGCGGTAGGCCAAAGCTACAAGATGATGGCTTTGGGTCACTTTGACAACGTATAGGTCACTATTACTTTAATCATGTCAGTAACTTGAATCTTTGCCATACGGTTTAACATGCCTTTTTGAAAGTATAGGGTTTTTTAAAAGTTAAATGAAAATGTAAATATGATGAAATGTTTTATAGAGCATGGATACAAGGAGCGTTGGCGATGGAAGTTCTGTTGGGACTAACATGGGTGTTTGGATATTTCTATATCAGTGAAGGAGCTATACCAGTTGCATACTTCTTTACAATTTTCAACAGTCTTCAAGGCCTATTCATTTTCATATTCCACTGTATATTGAATAAAAAGGTAACTAGTTAAAATTACATTTCCTTTAACAATTATTGTTTACACAATACTAACATATCTCTATCAAACTAAGGGATGCATAATTATAGTTTTGAGTTGACACGTTGGTACCCAAAATGCATAGCTGTATTTGCTTACAAAAGCAAATATTACATATTGTGTGGCTTTCTTAGAAAGTTTCCCATTCTTCATCTCAGTATTGATATGCATATTATTTTTGTGCTTCGGCTTCATTGATTCTAATAATTTTGAAATGAGTTTTAAGGATTGAACACCGCTATAAGACGGTACTGGCGTGGGGGTTGGAGATGTTGCACTTAACCTAATCTTTCGTGAACAGAATCAACAAAACCAAATCTGCATGTTTCAATTGAGGGTTCTCCTCTTCCCAGAATGAACATGTCTAGAAAATGTTTAAAAGCTAAAATAACGCTATATGTTAAAAATAGAACAACATCAATACTGCTTTGTTGCTAAATTTGTTCTTTTAACACCTGGCCATGTTGTAAAAGATTTCACAAAGGTAATGACTTAGTCAGTATCAAGTTCATCCTGTTTTGAAAAGAAAGCATTTCTTCTTTATTACAGGTTCGTATTGAATACTCGCGCTTTCTTAATATTCCAAGAAGATATTCTTTAGGTTGGACCAACTCTTCTAAAGAGACAAATCCGGGAGCATCAGACCATCGAAAGAATACAATCCCAATAAATGGGACAAGGGAACAACCCGAATGCATTGATTTGGAAAAAGACAGACGTGCTTCGACCAGGTCAACTACATCTGCGTAGAAAATGTTGTTTACGCGTTTGTGTGTGATAGGTATTTTAATGAACAAGGACAAGCACGGTCTTTAGTTGTTGTGTATTTAATTATCACCGGTGAAATATGTTTTGTTTATGGTGCTATTTATATCATTTTATTATGTTATTATTATACGACTTTTGACATAAAATATGCCTTTGGTATTTCATTCATGACACATTGTGCCAAATTATGCTTTTTTTGCCGTAAACAGGGGCCATGAAGACCCTTTGTATACATGTATATTATACATGTATATCTTACATGAATCTCAACGAGACTGTAGTGAATTTCATTAATGAGTATAATTAAGTCTTTACAAAGGCTGAAGTTTTAAGTCGTTTGACAAGACTACTTGTAAACTTCAAATTTCTCAAAAAAAATCCATATTTTTTTAAAATCTTTGCAAATTACTCCTGCTAATGAGATGTTATAAATCTTCTCTGATAAAGCTTTTCAATCTTTTTAAGAATAAAAGTTTTATCATTTATTCTCTGCCGTGTACTGTGTTCATTAATTCTATTTTTTATGTTAGTAAAACGCTTCAGTGATAAAATTGTAAATGCAATATAGTATTAAATGTATGTATTTTGTTAGTATATTCACTTCTGGTTTACACTTTTCTTAGTACACTTCCTTTATCAACAGTATCACACTAGTAATAATGTCCCAAGTCCTCTTGACAATGTATATATAAAATAGCAACAATGATCATTTTCATTTTCCCCACTCCTAACATCTATTCAAGCTAAATTTTAGGGGATAATATCGTTACTGAAGAGGCATAAAGTACAATTTATTCTAACCTTCAAATGAACAGTCTTATCAACAAACTTGCCTTGATTATTTGTAACTGGGGCTCTTTGGTAAGAGTTGTTCCAGAAGACTGACTTACACATTGATGTGAACTAAATTTACAGTGTGTATACAGAACCACTGTATCATTTATTGCAATCTATAAAGATCAATGTGTATGGTTTATTGCGAACACAAGCACCCGTTTCTTCCGATCACTGTATGATTTACAGCAAGCTTATCTTTTATCATTTCTGGTGAGCACAGGAAGTATACGGTACAATCTCTGCATAGCAACAAGCATTTGGAGATAATGAATCTGGTTGTTGATTAAGAGGTGTTGCCCTAGAACTGTTATATCTATTGTGAAATCTTTGTGTGGGATACATTAAGGCTGTTGTTGTTACTGTCAAAGAGGTTACTGGTGTACAGACGTCTTAATCTGGATTATTTTTTTATATGCCAAAAAGAATTTCAGGCATATAATGTTATACCCCCTGGCGTCCGTTCGTCTGTCCGTCCGTTAGCAATTTGGTTTCCGGAGCATAACTTTAATTCCATCCAGCCCACAATATTCAAACTTCATAGGATGATATTGTCCATATTGGGAATAAGACCCCTATTGATTTTGGGGTCACAAGGTCAAAGTCACTATAACCTTAAAACTGAAAACAGTTTCCGTAGCATAACTTAAGTTCCATTCGGCCTACAATTTTCAAACTTCATCGGATGATCATTGAGCAATTTTAAATTACAAATTGTTGTCAGACATATTTTCAAACATAAGTGTACCGAAAAAGACATTACTTTTCTTTTGGATGTCAAATATATACATTCGTTTTCCATTATCTCTGTTCATTACCACATCTGAAACCACGAGGTAGAACTACTTTCAATCCGTATTGTTTCCGAGGTTATTATAGATAATAGCCGAGGCAGTTCCGAATGAAGATCCCTTTTGATATTGGGGTCACAAGTTCAAAGTCACTATTACCTTAAAACTGAAAACAGTTTCCGGAGCATAACTCAAGTTCAATTTGGCCCATAATATTCAAACTTCATAGGATGATTGTCCACATTGGGAAGAAGACCCCTATTGATTTTTGGGTCACAAGGTCGAAGGTCAAGGTCACTATTTCCTTAAACCCGGAGCATAACTGAAGTTTTATTCGGCCCACAATATTCAAATTTTATAGGATGAGTGTCCATATTGGGTAGAAGACCCCTATTGATTTTGGGGTCACAAGGTCAAAGGTTAAGGTCACTTTTACCTTAAAACTGAAAACAGTTTCTGGAGCATAACTTGAGTTCCATTTGGTCCACAATATTCAAACTTCATAGGATGATTGTCAATATTAGGTAAAAGACCCCTATTGATTTTGGAGTCAGAAGGTCAAGGTCACTATTTCCTTAAAACTGAAAACAGTTTCCGGAGGATAACTGAAGTTCCATTCTGCCCACAATATTCAAACTTCATAGGATGATTGTCTATATTGGGTAAAATACTCATATTGATTTTGGGGTCACAAGGTGAAAGGTCAAGGTCACTTTTACCTTAAAACTGAAAACAATTCCTGGAGCATAACTTAAGTTCAATTCGGCCCACAATATTCAAACTTCATAATTATGATGATTGTCCATATTGGGTAGAAGACTCCTATTGATTTTGGGTTCAAAAGGTCAAAGGTCGTCACTATTACCTTAAAACTGAAAACAGTTTCCGGAACATAACTGAAGTTCCATTCGGCCCACGATATTCAAACTTCATAGGATGATTGTCCATATTGGGTAGAAGACCCCTATTGATTTTGGGGTCACAAGGTCACTATTACCTTAAAACTGAAAACAGTTTCCGGAACATAACTTAAGTTCCATTTGGTCCACAATATTCAAACTTCATAGGATGGTTGTCAATATAAGGTAAAAGATCCCTATTGATTTTGGGGTCACAAGGTCAAAGTCACTATTACCTAAAAACTGAAAACAGTTTCTGGGGCATAACTTAAGTTCAATTTGGCCTACAATATTCTAACTTCTTAGGATGAGTGTCCATATTGGGTAGAAGACCCCTATTGATTTTGGGGTCACAAGGTCAGGGTCACAATGATCTTTACACTGAAAATTGTGGTTTCATAACTAAGGTCCATTTGGCCCATATTATTCAAACTTCATAGGATGATTGTCAATATTGAGTAGAAGACCACTCTTATTTTTTGGGGTCACAAGGTCAAAGGTCAGGGTCACAATGATCTTTACACTGAAAATTGTGGTTTCTGGAGCATAACTTAAGTTCCATTTGGCCCACATTGTTCAAACTGTTTTCGCTCAATAACTTAAGTATTACAGCTGTTAAATTCTATAGGATGAATATCTATGTCCAATACATGACCCCTATTGAATTTAGGGTCATAAGATCAAAGGTCAGGGTCACAATGACCTTAACACTGGAAATTGTGCTTTCCAGAGCATAACACAAGTTTCATTTGGCTTACAGTGTTCAAACTTCAAAGGATGATTGCCTTTATTGAATAAAAGATTCATATCTATATTAGGGTCACAAGGTCAAAGGTCAATATCAAATGACCTTAATATTGTTTAAAGTTTTACAACTGTCAAACTTCATAGGATGATCACATATATTGAGTACATTAATTATATGCCCTAAAAAATTTGCTTATGTTATGTATCCCTAGCGTCATTCTGTCCATCCGTTGTAGTAAAATTATTTAATTCCCATGTCTTACAAATGCTTCATCCTTTCTAAAAAAATCACTTTCAGGTATATAATACCCCAACTAGCAGTGCTCTTGTTTTATTCTTTAAAAAAATCAACAAATGAAATGTCATTAACTTTTTTTATTATTTTTTTGAATGCCATATCACAGAACAGGGTCAATAAATATGAATATTATAAATATAATATAAAAAAAACTATGTTCACATGAGATTTTTAAATGAATATTAACATGCAGCAGTATATAATTTATAAATGAAAAATCACTTATATATACATGAAAATGTCTCTTAAAACAATAACAAAAACAGTGAGCAGTTGCAAAAAAATATAAAGTGTTCTCAGCACAGAAAAAAGAGGAAATTAAGAATATATGATAGTTAACGAACAAAGCTTCATGTTTCTTTAGGAAAATGTCTTATGATCTTGTAAGGTTTTTTAAAGCTGTATGCCTCCAGATGAGCCAAAATATTTCTAGAAAAACAAACTTGAGAAAAATGAAAAATTTAAGAAAAGTTAAAATATTCAAGATTCCAGTATTAATTTACATGTTGTGTGTGATTAATGACTGATATTGCAGCATTGATCATCATATTTCTGCTTCATGACTTACACAGTAAGGGCTATTTTTGCTTATTTTGTCCTCTATGTGGATTGTGTCTTTTGCAATGTGTAAATAACTATCTTTGTTCACTTCACCACATAATAATTCTATATACATTTTCAAAATTTTAATGCAAATTAGCACAAATCTGGAGGCTTGCTGCTTTAAAAGTTTAAATTCCAATCTCCAAGTATAGAGAGGGGAAAAAAGAACTCAAATTTTGTACAGCAAATAGCATATACTAGTAATTGAAATTATCCAGCAATTCAGTAACATTTGAGAACACTACACAATCATTTGCATAATTAAGTGTTAAAGTTCTTTAGTAATCCTTATGTAGCAATTCCTCTTTGATATTCATTTCTCCATTGTAATATTCAAAGTAACACATTGTTATTAATTCATGCATCACAAGCTTCAAAATTAACAATTGACTTTTAATATATGTTGAAATGCTCTTCTATTATTTGATCATTCTCAACCTCTCATCACATAGGCCACACAAAAAGTGTGTTATTTTTCTGTGTTATCAACATTGATCAAGTTAGCTTCTATAGTAGTCAACAATTGACGAGATAGTTTTAGTACAACAGTCAGATGTATTCTCGAACATCGAAATATTTTTTTATATGTAAGATGTAGCGCTTCCTTTAAGTCAGTTAGTCCATATCTGGTGGTAAATCATCTTCAAGCTGAGTTTCCTCCCTTTCCACCTTGTCTGGTTCCGTAGGTGACTGGTTCTGTAACTGAGATGCTAGACTGGTATTGATTATTTTCATCAAACAATCAGCCTGGAAAACAAATATACAAACCAGTCAAAAACAAATTGATATACAGTGATTCTTTTTTGTCAGTGTAAGATGAAAAATTTAAATACAGGTATTTTTGGCTGTACATTTTTTTGTAATTGTTTTATCTGTCATTTTGAGAACTTTAACACATTTACAACTATCGTTAATAAATTTATAGACCTGATTGATCATCTAATTTTTCTAAGTTGAGCGGTCTTTAAAAATTTTCAGTTATCATTTAACAAAAGACGAAACAAAGAGAACAATCAAAAATAAATTAAAGTTCTTTATTAATATCAGGACAGGAAAAAACCATAACTTTCCAACTTTTTTTTGCACTACTAAAGATGTAAGTCGATGAAGATGAAACATAAAAATATCAACAGAAATTTCTGAGTTGTTATAGAAAAAACCAACAATATGAAGTTAATCCCCTAAGTTTCAAAGATGATAAGAGTAAAAATACTATTTTCAAGTAAAAATATTGATGGCAAGTAACAATATTTCACTCAAACATTTCTATCTCCCTTCAACTGATCCTAAACATTCATCAAACAACTTTGAAACAATTATAACACCAAACAACTGTAATAAACAGTTATATAACAGCCAAACAGCTTCAACATTATCTTACCATGAACAGTTTACTCCCCAATCAATTATTTATCTCTCTAATTCTACATCTTTTACATCTATGTCTTTACCAAAATCATTCTTATCCTCAGAAGATGAATGTATGATCACTTCAAAAGCCTGTCATGCTAAAATTCATTATTTACTCTCATATAGTTTATAATCACAATTTTTTA